GACCTAATTCCTGGAGTAAAATGCTAGGGTCTCTGTTCGCTTCTGAAGCACTGATGACTCTTGAATTTTTTGTCTGGGCAAGAAGAAGAAGAGAGAGGGAGAGGCAAGGACCTCTTCCTTACCTTCGTCGTTAGCAGTGAAAACCTTTAGACATTTTTAAAATGCTTGTTTTTATGGGCTTGTGGAGTAGTTAAAAAGTGAGCCTACTTCAGGAGACCAAGGGTATAAACAAATATAGGACAAACCAATCTACAATATTTGGCAGAGAAAAAGAGCTCATGGGTTGGACCCCAAGACTGGCCACATTTAAAAAAAAGTAACCCAAGAGGAAATTTTCCTGGGGTTGATTAAACCAACCAGAGACTCTAACCATATAATGGCCTAGCTTTATCTGTCTCTGCTGGTATAATGTAGGTTTCACATAAATCACGTTTAAGTCTGTAAATATTAGGTGATTAAAAGAAGAAAATTAATTACTGTTTCCAGTAGCCTGGGAACAGTGCCGTCTTTGTCAGTGCTAATGATATGCCAGTATTCAGCCAAATGAAAGACAGTTATCTGTGAAAGGATGTTCCTGGCAATATCTTTATTTTTGGAAGAAAAACACTATGTAAAAACCTAGAATCTTGAAGATAAAAGGTAGTTGGGCGCCCATGTTCATCTAGGCCAACGGAGCATTTGCTAGAGACCAGAAAGATAGCAAGACTTGGCCCGGGAAGGTAACTGGCTCATTGTAGTAATAATCAAAGACAGGACCAAAGCCCTGGCTGGTGTGGCTCAGTTGGTTGGGTATCAACTAGTGCATTGAAAGGTTGTGGATTCAATTCCTGGTCAGGGCACAAGCCCGGGTTTCAGGCTCGTTTCCCTCTTCCCCCTTCTCTCTTCGAAGCTCTTTCTCTCTAAAAATGAATAGAAAATATTGAAAAGAAAAGATGAGAATCAGAGCCTCCTGACTCTATTTGCCAAGCGGTTTGGGGCAGATGATGAAGTCATTTGGAGTAAGGCTTTCCTTGTTCACAACTGTCCCTCGCTCCTCATCTCCAAATGGTGATAATCACACAATCCACAACCCCCAGCTCTGCAAACTCAGTATTTCTGTCATTCATTTGGAAGCAAATGTGACATAAACTGATATGAGGCTGTTTATAATCTTTATTTTCCTTAGTGGGACTATTCATATGTTTCACTACAGAAATATTATTATTTCATTAAAAGTACCACTCCAGGCCACGATAGGGGTATTTTTTATTTATTTTTTATTTTTTGTAAAATTAGAAAAAATTCTGAAACATCTATTCTCAAAGGTATATTTTTGGATAAGGAATTGTGGATATGTGGTACTTTAACCTCATAGAAGGGTTGTAAAAATGCATAAATGCTCAGTGAATTGTTAGATGTTATTGCTGTTGGCCAACAATAAAAGTCCAGCACTCCGGTTTTTGAAATGCACCATGGGAATCGATATCTCCAGTTGGCTGTGAACAACACAAGGTTGAGGGGGCTGATACCCTACCCCACCCTGTCACACCCGCAGTGGAGAATTAGCACGTGACTTTAGTTCATCAGTATCCACAGGGGATTGGTTCCAGGACCACCTAGAGATACCAAAATCCACAGATGCTCACGTCCCTTATATAAAACAGCATAGAGCAATGCATACATACCATACAATAGATAGTGGGTTTCCAACCATGATTAAAACGTACTGTTTTTGATCTGTGGCTGGTTGAATCCACAGATTTGCAACCCATGGATACAGATGGTGATCTGGGTATTTACTGAAAAATACCGGTGTATATGTGGACATGCACAGAGCAAACCTGTGTTGTTCAAGGGTCTACTGTGTACAGGGTGTGTCAGTGTGCAGTCACTAGAACTTTCTGCAGTGATGGGAGTGTTCTTTTTGTGACCACCTAATGCAGTAGCCACCAGCAATTGAACACTTGAAATTCAACTAGGGTAACTGAGGAACTGAATTTTTAATTTGGTTTAATTTAAATAAGCACATGGGGCTAGTGGCTGCCATCTTGGACTGCATAGCTCTGTAATTCATGTTCTGCAAACTTTACTTTTGCTCTTTTTGTAATTATCTCTTTCTATTGATTAAATATACAATATGACCTAGCAGATTTCTAAGACAGCTACTGTGAGGAGGACTTATGTTTCTAATACATCCTAGGCTTATCATCTATAATAATAAAACACTATGCTAATTAGACCTTGCAGATATCCTCCCGGGCTGCAGCCGCCCATGCCTGTGAGGGAGGGATCCAGGCAGTCAAGAATTTCTTACATCGGGCCTCTAGTCAGCTTATAATAAACTAGAGGCCTCATGCACAGGTCCAGCCATCATGGCCGATCTGGGCCTTCTGGCTGCCAGCCCGGGGCCTTCCTTTGTTCTGCATCGCTCCCTGGTGGTCAGCGCATGTCATAGCGAGTGATCAAACTCAGTCTCTCTATTGAACTCCTGAGGAGACACTTTGCATAGCAAACACACACACACACACACACACACATATGCTGGCAGCCAGAAGGCCCAGATCGGCCATGATGGCTGGACAGGCCTAGGGACCCTCCCTGTGCATGCATTTTGTGCGTGAGGCCTCTAGTTTATTATAAGCTGACTAGAGGCCCGATGTAAGAAATATATATATAATTCTGTCTCCAGGGCATTTTAAAGACTTGACAGTAAAATGTACACATTCTCTTTTAACTTGACACAGGCAACTTCTAATGAAATCAACCTAAGTGATTCATAAAATCTAATGTATCTGTGCCAAGAAATCCCTAATTTTTGAGAATTTTAAGTGACAGAAAGTTCCCTGGTAAATTTTTCCCAAAGAAAAACTAATAGAAAAAACTATTATAAAGTTGTTTTAAGATAGCAAAATATTCTAACCTGTTTGATGTTAATAGCAAATGTGCTAATACGTTCACATTGTTAAGCAGATGTTATTTTCCAAAAATGACTTTTGTACACATTCGAAGAATAGTATTATATACAAGACCAGTGTTTTTCTAGTCCCTGTAGCTAAAAGGGGTTGTTAGGGTCCATCTGCCAAAGTACAAGATGCTGATGATACGTTCACAGGAGGTTTGAATGTTCAGTGCCATGATCTGCACCGTACCTTTACCTGTGGGAGGCCATGTTTGTCTTTAGCAAAAGGGCACTAGAAATGTTCCTGTCTTCACTAAGTCTTCTGTTGTTGTTAATCCTCACCTGAGGATATTTCCCACTGATTCTTAGAGAGTGGAAGGGAAGGGGAGAGGCAGAGAGAGGGACATTGGTGTGAGAGAGGCCCATCGATTGGTTGCCTCCTGCATGTGCCCTGACCAGGGCCTGGGATCGAGTCTACAATCTAGGTACATGCCCTTGACCAGAACCGAACCCGGGGCCCTTCAGTCCGAGGGCCAACACTCTATCCACTGAGCCACACTGGGTAGGGCCCAGGTCTTAAGTTGACTAAAAAGAGAGGCATGGACAAAGGCATCCATTTGTTCTTTTGAGGTTAGGGACAACTGTCTACCCTCCTAATGCAGAAGGGTAAGTTAGATGACAAAGTGAGAGACATTGGTAATAGGCAATTATTAATACAGAATTGAGAATTACTAGACAATGTTCATGTGGTTAAAAGTTGTGTTCATTGAACCTAGAATATTTCTCTTTATTAAAAAAAAAGTGCATTTTATATTGTTAAGTTTTTCATGTCTTCATTTTATAGCAAAAGGCCAGTAAGGTAAGGCAGTAGAAAAGATTAGCTCCTGATACATATTGAGCTTAAAAAAGAGCAAGTTACAGAAGAACAGGTGTACTGTGTTTTTGTAGTGTGCATGCATTCTGTACACACAGTATGGAAGGTTGCACATACCAGTGGTAAACTGTCTACAACCAGGGACTGGGCGTCAGAGAGGAGGGAGGCCCTTGTACTTCTCTGCTTTGTATATTTACTGGTGTTTGAATTTTTTTTACAATGAACATGAATAATTTTTGGAATTTTTAAAAAGGAAAATTGATAGTATTTTAAAGTCAAAATTAATTTTAATTCATGTTTTGTATTTTCTAAGAAATAACTTTTTATTTAAAAAAAAGCTTTTTGTAAAACTTCTGTAAGGGTAGTTAGAATTGAAAACATATGAAATTTTAAATAATACCATGAAATAAGTTGTAACTTCTAATTATATGATACTTGGCACAGTTTACATTAGGAATCCGTTTTAATCAGATTTTCTTGTGTAGATTTATTTGAAAAAGAAAACAAAACCAAAAACTGTTTAGTCTAGAAGAAGCCATTAAACATGAGAGTGCTTTTCCGGAAGCCATGTGTTTAGCTCTGCAGTGGGTGCCACGCTTACCGCACGGCTACGGAGGCCTGCCCTGGCCACCTAATCAGCCTCTTCGTAAGATGTCCTGCGCACCGTCAGCCCGCACCTTGGAAGACAGACTGAAGACAGTCAGTGACTGCAAGCTGGTCAGCACAGACCAGAGCTAGAACACAGCACGGGACTGACTGGTTTCACAGAAATTCAGCTCAGGCTTTCAGCAGTCTTAAGCGACGAGTGTTCAGGGTCTCCGTGATTTGAGAGATGTTGCCTAAGCAATAGACCTGAAGACACTGGGTTTGGGAGGGCAGTGACAAATGCTTCAGAATACAAAGGGTATAAAAAAGCCAGTCATTCAAGTAAAATACCAGCAAAAGTTCCTCAGGGGGGGGGGGAAGCTGCATATATTTCTGTAGCTCTGGAGTCTGTAAAAAATGTTAATTGATTTTCAAACTGCCTACTAGCCCTTAATCATAAGAAACGCTGCTGAATCTTAAATTAATTTTTAATTACATCAGAAAATTAATTCAAATGAAAACCTTATTGAGATGCCAATTTCCATCTGTCATGTTGGTAAAAATTCAAAAGTTAGACAATGCTCACTGTTGAGAAGACAATGAAGAAAGAAAGGAAGAGAGAGAAAGAGAAAGAGAAAGAACTCTTATCCGTTACTGGTGAGAGTGCAAAGTGCTTTAACTGCTCTAGAGGGCAGATGGGCAGCATCTGTCAAAGTGCATTTCCTTTTCAACCCAGAGCTCAGTTTGGGGAGCTTTATTCTACTCAGGTGTGTCATTTCATTGTGTGTGCAGTGCAGGTAAACTCAACTCTCTATTAAAGAATTGTTTGTAAAGAAATGTTTGGATACCACAGTGTCCGTTTAAAAGGGATTTGTTTGAAAAGAAAAGCAATGTGGTATATCCATACAATTGAATATTATGGGATGTATAAAGAAAAAGAAGAGAAAGTTCTCCACATATTGATACAGGAAGGTCTCCAGGCTAAACTGTAAAAGACAGGGGTGAAGGAGTACAGAGCTTAATATTTAAATATTTTTTTATTGATTTTTTTAGAGAGAGAGGAAAGGAGAAATATGCGCTCCAACTGGGGACTGAACCCACAACCTAAGCATGTGTCCTGACCAGGAATTGAACTGGCAACCTTCTGGTGCATGAGACAATGCTCAACTAACTGAGCCACACCCGCCAGGGCCAGAGCTATGTATTTAATACTTTGCCGTTTATATAAGATATGGTGAGAAGGCTCTAAGAAACTAATAAAAGTGATTACTGTCTGGCCAGTGTGGCTCAATGGTTGAGTGTCAGTCCATGAAGCAGGAGGTCATGGTTTGATTCCCAGTCAGGGCACATGCCCGGGATTTGGGCTCAAGCCTCAGTAGGGGGCGTGCAGGAGGCAGCCAATTGATGACTCTCTCATCATTGATGTTTCTCTCTCTCTCACTCTCCCTTCTTCTCTGAAATCAATAAACACTTTTTTTTAAAAGTGATTATCTAAAGGTAATCCAGTCTGACCCTCATCAGATCACTAAGACTATTTTTGCTAAGGTCACCAGTGACATACACATTAAATAAATCCAGTGGACACTGCAGTTTTCATCTTACTTGACCTCTCAGTCTTCCAACACAGGTGACCTCCTTCCTACTCCAAACAGTGGAAGCTGAGTGCATAGTGTTCAGCTCTCTATGCCAATAACTCATTTAATTCTTTAACAGCTCTTTAAAACAGGTGACGTTATCCCCGTGGTACAGATGACGCTGGGCCTTAGGTTAAGTAACGAGTTCCATCTGAGTCAGGGGGAAACGAGGGTTTAAATTCAGACACCGTCCCTCCTGCTGTCTCTGTGAAACACTCACCACCTTGCTGTCCTGAGCTTTCTTCCTCTTTCTGTTTCTCTCTGGTTTCTTTGCGTCTCCTTCTTCTGCCTGGTCTTAGGTTTTGGAGGTTTCTTAGGGTTTTTTCTTGGATTTTCTTCTCACCCCTGCTAGGCAGTCTTACCCTCACCATGGCTTTAATTGCCACATAGAAGGTGATGAGCTCCCAATATATATTTTATAGCTTAGAGCTGCTATCCAACCCAGATATCCAACCATCCCAACCCATCTAAAATCTAATTTTTAACCTGCTCCTCCTATGTTGCCTTTTTTGCTAAATGGTACAAGCCATCGTCCAGCGGCTCAGCAGAAACCTGGGAGTCCTTCCTGGTCCCGTTACCAATCACCAGGTCCTATTTATGTGTCTCATGCATCTCCTTCCCTCAGGAAAGCACCCCCTCCCCAGTTCCACTTCCACTTTCTCATAGGACCCTGCACCTGTCTTTCTCCCTCTTACAGCCTTTCCGTAAGGATATTCACCTGCTTTGAGTGAATATACTCATGGAAACTTGTGGTTTTTAAATCCCTTAGCATGGCATTTATTTTTTATTCCTTTAGAAAAGACATTCAGGGAGGAACCAAGACAATCTTACTGTTACTCTATCCCCAGTGGCTAACCGAGTGCCTGTTTGGCACAGAGGCATCATTAAATATTTGCTTAAATGAAAAAAGGAACAGAAATTTATTTAGGGGAAAGGCCTAACAAAACAAGAATGGGTAGTGTGGAGGGTGAATCCTGGAGACAGACTTACAAACAAGATTTCTGAGAGTCAAGCCATGAGAGTCAAGCTAAGGAATTGGCATTAGGATTGAGAAAAATAGGGGAGTTGGGGGTGTGGAATTGCAGGACTCCAACTGTCATTACATGTGGGAGGTAAGATCAGGGGTGTCAACGGTGCAGCAAACTGCCCTAGCTGGTTTGGCTCAGTGGACAGAGCATAGGCCTATGGACCGAAAGGTCCCAGGTTCAAATCTAGTCTAGGGCACCTACTTCGGTTGTAGGCTTCTCCCTGGTCAGGGCGGTGGAGGAGTCAACCAATCAATGTGTTTCTCTCACATCGCTATTTCTCTTCAGCTTTCCCTTTCTCTTCCATTGTTTCTAAAAATCAATGGAAAAATATCCTCAGGTGAGGATTTAAAAAAAAAGAAAAAATAATGCAATAGATTTTTAGCTTTGACAGCTGAGGGGATCAGGTTACCGTTTCTTAAGGGGATTGAGGGGACCAGGTGTGAAAAAAGAAGAATGACTTAGTTTTGGACCTGTTGACTTTGAAGAACTTCCCTCGGGACTCCCAGAGGGAGAGAACCAATAGGCAGTTATAAAAATGGAAATTGACTTTAGGAGAGAGATACAGGCTTTATCTCATCACCAGTAAAATACTATCGGTAATTCAAGTGTTAACTGATAAAAGTTCAATCACTGAAACTTTTCATCATTGGTACAGAATAGGTAGATAATATGGTAATTTTTAAATTGGGTGTGGATGTTATAAGATCTATTGTATGTCATACAGAAAGGGAATTTTTACATTAATATTCAACATCCTGTGAATATCTTACCTAATAATAGACAAACATGTAAACTGACCGTACCTCCACTATGCCCACAGCCAATCAGGAACGAGTATGCAAATTAACCCAGCAAAGATGGCGGGTTAATTTGCATATGAGGCACAGAGCAGCCAGGAGGGGCAGGACACCTGCTATAAGGAGGAGAGGGGCGATGGAGGGAGCTACAGGAGCAACGCTCTGGCCCCCGGGCAGTCCTGGAGCAAGGCCTTGCAGGCTCCTGGGTGACCCAGGAGCAAAGCCAATCTCATTTTAATTATGTGATTATGTTAATGCTAATTTATACCTTTTTACCTTAAAGATGAAATAAAAACTTAGGTTTGTAGATCAAATTCTGTGAGAACTTGCTGCCATGTGATTTAATGTTTTTTCTCTTATTTTTCTAGGGCCTATTCCCTGGTGGATTCCAGTCAAGTGTCTACATTTCTGATTTCAATTCTCCTGATAGTCTACGGTAGTTTCAGGTAAGATGCTCTCAAAGTGAGACTAATCTCAATGGGAGGTGAGATTAACACCAAAACTTAACTGCTCTGTGAAGAGAAATATGGCTGGCAGGAATTGAGTCAGAATAGGATAATTCTGATATTTCATCTTTAATTTGGCTGCTGTTAAAACACTTCTTGGTTTTGCTTATATGACTTTGGAATTTTAATGGAAACATGAGTTGCTTTAATTCTGGTTCTGAAATATGACTCCCATAAACATACTTATTGAGAAGGTTAAGGAGTTAATCCTTGACAGTTATTCTACAGGCTCAAAGGGAACAACGTTTTTCTTAATATGGAAGCATTGACACAGGGTGAACCACATGAAATTGCCTACAGGCAACTATTTTGACCTACACAAATAACTGATGGTTCAGCCTAATTATGTACATTAATATTTACCAAGTGTTTTCTCTGCTGTCTTTGGGAATGCTGAGACTGGGTCCTCTTGACATTGCTATTCTAGAAGGCAGCCGCAGGAATAGAAGTTAGACACTTACTCCTCCTCTTCACTGTGCTTTCTTTTCTTTTTTTCTTTTTCTTTTTTTCACTGTGCTTTCTTAAAAGGAACTTTAATATATTCAAATAGTTCTGTGGCTGACACACTTAACAATAAAGGTCACATGAGAAATTTTAAATAGATAACTTGAAAGGAGTGATGGTGATAAATGAAATAGGCATAAGAATTTTGAAATATTATATCTGGGTTTTAATAGAACTTAGCAAAATTACAGGCTTTATCTTAACACTGCATAGAACAGGTACAATACTGTTGGTAATTCCAGTATCAACTGAATCAAGTCTTAATCATTGAGACTTCTATTGAGAACCCTATGTTTATAATGAGCCTTAGGAAGCATAGTTAAGCCAGAGCAACTGAGAACCTTATCACATAATCTTGATGTTTTTGTATTGCTGTCCTTTGGACAAGTTTCTTATTTTTTCTCTTGTGTATATGTCAGCATTTCCAAACACTCGGTAATTTAAAAAAAAAAAATCTTTAGACCTACAACCCTAGTACTACAGCAAGTCTTTATTTAATGTTAGTAAGTTCTGTGACTTTAAGTGAAATGCGTATAATGAAGCCAGTTTTACCAAAGGCTGATGGATGTAAACAAGGGTAAAGTTCTTACAGCATCTTATCAGTGTCACAGCTAAATGGCATTATTTGTACTTTCATTAGTATGTGTGACCTTTTGTTTGGCCTGTATTTATATATTGGGTACATTTTTATAGTTTAAATCATTTATATTCTTTTTAAAAATATTTTTATTGATTTTTTACAGAGAGGGATAGAGAGTTAGAAACATCGATGAGAGAGAAACATCGATCAGCTGCCTCTTGCACACCCCCTACTGGGGATGTGCCCACAACCAAGGTACATGCCCTTGCCCGGAATCGAACCTGGGACCTTTCAGTCTGCAGGCTGCCGCTCTATCCACTGAACCAAACTGGTTTCGGGAAATCCTTTATATACTGATTATTTCACCTAAAAAATATATTTTCCACAGTCATCATCATACTAATTTTAGTACTAGTAATTTGGTATTTCTTTGTGGTACTGTCTTATTCCACTCTTGCTGGACATGTGGGTTGTAAAGGTAACCATCTTTTTATGTTCTTTTGCTTTGGTTGAATTATTCAAGTTAAATATTCAAAACTTAAAACACTTCAGCAGAGAGTATAAACTGGCTTTTACAATAAAAGTGCTGTATTGTTTTGCAGACAGGTGATACCAATTTAGGATCGTGCATATTTTAAACAAAATTTATGCTTATAAATACACCACAGAATTATTATATATCAGTGGAAAAGATTTCTCTGGTGAACTTTATTTTACAAATGAGGAAACTGAAGCTCAAGAAGATGAGGTGCCTTGATAAAGATTACACAACTCCTTTGGTAACGAAGTCTGGTTTGGACACTGTTAGGTTTTGGTCCCAGTACATTATGTCTTTTATACTTCAGCAATTCTTTTCTGCAAAACAATCAATTGTGAAGCCTTTAGTTATACATTTAAACTGCCCTCGTTGAATAAGTTTGGAAGTGTTTTCTCCTCTGTTGTTTTCTGAAACAGATTATATAAACTTATATTTCTTCTTAAATATATGATAGAACTCAACCAGTGAAGCCATCTAAAGTCTGGCTTTTTGTGGGAAAATTCTCCGTTGTTTTTTTGTGCTTTGTTCACCACTTTCCCCCTTATTATTAAGCACTGGCAAGGAGCCCCGACCGGTTTGGCTCAATGGATAGGGCGTTGGCCTGTGGACGGAAGGGCCCTGGGTTCATTCCTGTAACAGGCACCTACCTTACTTGCAGGCTCCTCTCCGGTTGCTGGGCGTGCAGGAGGCAGCCCTCGGTGATTCTGTCTCTCAGTGATGTTTCTCTCTCTCTTCCCCTCTCCCTTCCTCTCTGAAATCAATAAAAATATATTTTTTAAAAGTACTGGTAAGGATGTTTTTCTTTTTGTGGTAAAATATACATAAAATGAAATTTACCATTCATTTTTAAGAATACAGTTCAGCCGAAACCGGTTTGGCTCAGTGGATAGAGCGTCGGCTTGGGGACCGAAGGGTCCCGGGTTCAATTCTGGTCAAGGGCATGTACCTTGGTTGCTGGCACATCCCCAGTATCGATGACTCTCTCTCATCGATGTTTCTAACTTGCTATCTCTGTACAAAATCAATAAAATATATTTTTTTAAAAAAGAATACAGTTCAGATAGCAGGTACAAGGTTTTAAAAACACGTTTTTGTCTCTCTTTTTGTAACCATTCTGATACTAGGTGTGGAATGATTTCTCTGGCTTCAATTACATTTCTCTAATAACTGGGATTAGGATGCTGAAAAGCTGTTAAGTATCTTTTCATGTTCTTATTTTATTGCCCACGTGATTTTTCTTTTTTGGTGAAATGTCTGTTTGGGTTGTTTGTCTTCTATGGAATAGTAACAGTTCTTTAAATATTCTAGATAAAAGTAATTCTGTTTGTTTTTGTTTTTTACAGTTTGTTTCATCTCTTTTATCCCTCCTCCCCTAAAGTATTAAAAAAACAAACAAAAAAACCCAGCAGCACAGGTTTATAGAGATATAATGTACCTACTATTTTTTAAATATATATATTTCTTTATTAATTTCTGAGAGGAAAGGGGGAGAGATAGATAGAAACATCAATGATAACAGAGAACCACCAGTCAGCTGCCTCCTGCACAGCCCCCACTGGGGATTGAGCCTGCAACCCAGACATGTGCCCTTGGCTGGAATGGAACCTGGGACCCTTCAGTCAGGAGGCTGACGCTCTATCCCTGAGCTGAGCTGGCTAGGGCTAATGTACCTACTAAGCTCTTCCATATCAAGTGTACATTCAGTGGTTTCAGAATATTACTAAGTTGTGTAAACATCACCACAATCCATTTTAGGACATTTTCATCATCCCCAAAGAAATCTGTACCCATTAGCAGTCATTCTCCCCCACCTCCACTCTAGGTAACCATTAATCTTTAACTTTCTGTCTCTCGAGATTTGCCTGTCTTCTTTTTTAACATAGGTATTTAAAGCAGCAAATTTCCCTCTAAGCACTGTTTTAACCGCATCCCATAAATGTTACATTTTAATTTCATTCAAGTCAAGATGTTTTCTAACTTTTCTGGTGATTTTTTTTTTCTTTTGACCTATGATTTTTAAAATTACTTTCCTAATATTTGAGGATATTTCAAAATTCTCTCTGATGTTGAAAGGAATTTCAACCACCGAATTCAGTTTCGTTGTGGTCAGAGACACACTTCCAATGATTCCAAACCTTTTAAATGAGTTGAGGCTTGTTTTAGCATACAGTCCATCCAGGAGGCTGTTCGTGTGCAGCTGGAGAAATCAGCCTTCGGCAGTTGAATGCAGTGGGTGACGTCAGCTGGTTTGTGTTTTAGAAAGGTGGTTCTGGGTTGTGTATGAGAAATAGATTGTTGTGTCAAGAGGAAACCTGGGAGAGACTGTTGCCCTAGTACAGGCAACAATCAATGATAGCCTTAACTAGGCTGATAGTGGAGGAGTGAGATATCAGTAGGTGAAGGATGAGATTGCTGAGGGGAATGTATGAAAGAGAAGAGTCAAGAATCAGTCCCAAGGTTTATGTCCAAAACATCTGGATCCAAAATGGTGCCATTTTTGAGCTAGAAAGCTCCAAAGAAAAGCAGATCATAAAATACTGTATAAAAATTTTGTGAAGTAGACTGCTTATTTCCCACCAGGCTTTCACATCTCCTAGTACAGAGGGGAAAATGATATCAAGTAAAGCTAGATTCTAAAAGCCAAAGCAAATCTTTGATTTAGGAGTCCTTATGTTTACCATCTTTAGCTGAGCTTTGCTAGATTTCCTGTATACTTAAAGCTGACACCCATCTCTCTTTAACCTTTCCAGCCACTCAGAAACAAAATAGCTCATCTTAGTAGTAAGTTCCTAAAGAGTTTGACAGACCTACAGGAGAGCATTGAGAGAGGGAGAGGGAGAGAACAATAACTGGATGTACATCACGGTGACTGTTGTAACATATGAAGAGCCAGGGTCTGTCATAACCAAAACGTCTAAACGGACGACTGGACATGAGGCTAGCGTACCGGCCAGCGTGGCAGCAGTCAGTCCTGGGTCCCGGCTGCCCAGGAGCTGTGGGAACGGATCCATGCTGCCATCGGACTGGCCTCTTGGTTGGTCCCTCCCCCTGCCCCCAGCCTGCAGGCCCAGGGAACCAGAGCCATGCTGTGATCGAGCTGGACCCTACCTGAGTGGTCCCGGATTGTGAGAGCGTGCAGGCTGGGCTGAGAAATTTCGTGCACCGGGCCTCTAGTAGTTAATAATAATGTATTAAATACTTGAAATCTGCTAAGAAAGTAGATCTTAAGTGTTCTGACCACAATAAAAAAGGCAACTATGGGAGGTAGTAGATATGTTAATTCATTTGATTGTGGTAATTATTTCATATTGTATACATATATAAAGACATCATGTTGTATACCTTAAACAATCATATGCTCCTTGACTTATGATGGCGTTACATCCTTACAAACCCATTGTAAGTTGAAAATACTATAAATCAAAAATGAATTGAATACACCTAAACCTGCTGAACATCATAGCTTACTTAGCCTACCTTCAGTGTGCTCAGAACACTCAAACAATAGCCTACAGTTAGGCAAAATCATCTAACACAAAGCCTGTTTTATAATAAAGCACTAAATATCTCATGTAATTGAATACTGTACTGAAAGTAAAAACAGAGTGGTTGTACGGGTATTTGCCATGAATATACGTAGTTGAAAATGTGCTGGGCCAGAGGATGGCTGAGGCATTGCTGGGTGCTGGGGGGTGACAGCACCAGGATCATCGCTGTCTTTCTCTTCTGATGAGGCTGGAGAAGAGCTGGTTTCTACTGAATGTGTTTCACTTTTGCACATTGTGAAGTTGAAAAATTATCACGTTGAACCACCATAAAGTTGGAAACCATCTGTACACAATTTTTTGTCAAAAATAATCTTGAAACAAAAATTAAAGATAGTTTCCAGGTTGTGGCACAGGGAGAAAGATTCCCTCAGTGAGGAGGTGGAGCTGAGGCAGCTAGAGTTAGTAAGGCAGAATGCAAAAAAAGAAGGTTCACAAAGAGAGATCTGCACTATGTACCCTCTGAGCATTCATCAGTGTGGGTCAGTGCTATATGCGAGGAAATGAGCTAAGACTGAGGAAAGAACAATGAGAAAGAATTAAAAGGAAAAGTACCTGTTCTCTCCAGCTAGACTGGGAAAAACTTATGATTCATGTGGCATTGGGTAAGGAATTCAGAAAGGTCCTGCTTCAGTGGTAGGAGATAATTACCCTAGACTGAACATTACTTCAGACCTGCCTAATAAATCATAAAAGCAGGGCCTGAACAAATTAAACTATTTCCAGGTAACTAACAGCATCCCAGAACAATGCTTAAGAAGATTTATAGTACTACTAGATGCCAGGTGCACAAAATTCATGCATGGGAGGGGGTTCCCCTTAGCCCAGTCTGCACCATCTCCAACCTGGGACCCCTTGGGGGATGTCTGATTGCCAGTTTAGGTCCGATCCCAGTGATTGGGCCTAAACCGGCAGTCGTACATTCCTCTCACAATCCTGGACCACTTGCTCCTAATTGCTCACCTGCCTGGTTGCCCCTCACTGCCTCTTCCCCCCCCCCCCCCCCCCCCCCATCAGCCTAGTTGCCCCTTACTCCACCCCTTCCACCAGCCTAATCGCCCCCAACTGCCCCCCCCCCTCCAGCCTGGTCTTCCCCAATTGCACCCCCCCCCCTGCTGTCCTGGCCGCCCCTAACTGCCCCCCACCCCCTGCTGGCCTGATTGCCCTACGCAGCCTGCTTAATTCAGTCATTTGGTCATTCCTCACTAACCCCTCTGCTGGCCTGGTCATAGGCAGCCATCTTTTGAGTGCATGATTGTCCATTTGCATATTACCTCTTTATTATATAGGTTAAAAATATCAAGCAGCCAATAGGAATGTAAAAATATTGAGATAAGGTAAAATTCACAAAGTCTGGCATATAAGCAAAGATCGCCAGGTAGCAAAGAGTAGCCAATAATGAGAATAATCAATCAAAACCACCCAGAGCTACACAGATGTTAGAATTAACAAAGAAATACATCAGAACAGATAGTATAATTATTACATATGTATAAAAGTTAGCTAGATATTCTAAACTACCCAAATTAAACTTCTGGAAATGAAAATAACATCTGAGATAAACATATTGGATGGGATTAACATCAGCCATTGCAGAAGAAAAGATCGTGAAGTTGAAGATACAACAATAAAAACTACAAAGTGGAAAAAAAATGTTAATGAAAAGGATATCCAACAGCAACCTCCAATGGTCTAATGTATGAGTAACTGGCATCTATGAAAGAGGAAAAGAAAGGGAGGAACAGGAAAATACTTGGAAGAAGGAGTGGCCACGCCCTGGCTGCTGGCTCAGTTGGCTGGGTGTGGAACCATGCATCACAAAGGTGGTGGGTTTGGTTTCTGGTCAGGCACGTGCCTGGGTGGTGGGTTTCATCCCTGGTCCGCATGAGTACAGAGGCAGCCATGGATGTTTTGCTCTCACATTGATGGTTCTCTATCTCTCTCGCCCTTCCTCTCTCTCTAAGATCAATTTAAAAACATTTTTAAAAAGAAAGAATGGTCATAATTTTTTCACACTTGATAAAAACTATAACCCACAGATCTAAGAAACCCTACTCCAGGCATAAGAAACATGAAGAAAACTACACCAGAGGCACATCATAATCAAATTGCTCAAAACCAGTGATAAAATTGAAAACCAAAAAGCAGCTAGCAGGGGCAGGGGCAGAGACGTTCCGTACATAGGAATAAAGGAAGAATGGACATCCGCTTTCTCACTGAATTCAAGTACAAGTGAGAAGACAGTGGAACAACACTTTTAAAGTACAAAAAGAAAAATTGTCAACATAGCAAAGGTATCTTCTGAAAACGAAGACAAGGTAAGAGGTTTTCAGATACACAACTCCTGGAAGAATTCATTACCAACTTGCACTATAAGAAATGTTAAGGGCTGAATTCAAGCAGATTAAAAATGGTACCAGTTGGAAATCTGGAGCTACACAAAGAAATGGAGATCAAGAAATGGTAATTACACTGATAAACATAAAAGGTTGTTTTGTTTTGTTTTAAATTTATTGATTTTTTTACAGAGAGGAAGGGAGAGGGACAGAGAGTTAGAAACATCGATGAGAGAGAAACATTGACTAGCTGCCTCCTGCACTACTGGGGATGTGCCCGCAACCAAGGTACATGCCCTTGACCGGAATCGAACCCGGGACCTTTCAGTCCCCAAGCCGACGCTCTATCCATTGAGCCAAACCGGTTTCGGCCCGCCCGCCCTATTTAAAACTTCCAGCCTAACCTCTCCATCTCCTGCCCTTTTTCCTTAGTTCTGACATCAACAGACCTCGTGCTTAACACACTTCTCTTGTTTGTGGTCAGTCTCTCCCTCTTTCCATGTAAAGCCTGTTTACTCTTTATTGTCCTTCCAGTATCTGAAACAGTCCCGGATATAATAGAAACTGGTGTGTGCTGCTGAGAAAGCTGACACGGTATAGAGTAAATGGGCCAGCCATTCTGGAGGTGGTTGTGTGGTATAAAAGCCTCAAATTGCACTTGCCCTTTGACCCGACATTTCTCCCTCTGGGTGTTTATCGCATACGGAAGTAATTAAGGATGTGCTGGAAGATTTGGCCACAGTGGGATGCTTTTAAAACTCTTGAACTCTGACCTATTGGAAGGAATGTAGATTGTTTTTGAAAAGTGGCAAGAACTATTTTGCAGAATTGGTCAAAAGAGACCTTCCTTTCTCTCCTGACACCTTAGCTTTTAAAAATACTGTTTTGTTACTGACTTTTTAAAACCTACTTCTTTCTAAAGCAAAACTAAAACTATCTATCCAATTTTTCCACAGGTCCCTTAATATGGACTTTGAAAATCAAGATAAAGAGAAAGACAGTAACAGTTCTTCGGGTTCTTTCAGTGGCAACAGCAGCAATAATAGTAAGGCGCCTTATGTCAATTAACTTTCGTGCATGTCGTCATTTCAACGTGATTATTTCTATAACCCAGTTCATCCCCTGGGCTCAAGATATACGTTTGCTGTAACAAAATCTAATCTGTGTGGTATAATTTGTTAGGTTATTATGTTTTGAATCTGAGCTACTGATTGCCTGTGTGCTGCTTTTAACTCCTGCCTAAAAGCTTGCTGCTGGGGTTCTTTATCTTCCCAAAGATAAGCAAAATGGATGACTATCTGCCCATTTATGACTTCATTTCAATATTTTGTTGAGGCTGATAATTTTGTTAATGAATCATAAATTCATTCAGTGACTCTTAAAGATAGCTACTTGAAGTACTTGTAAAAACTAAGTACTGTATCTCTTCTGAATTTAAGATTCTATAAGAATACTTGTTTAAAAAAATACACAGAAGTGTGTTATATGGCAAATGCTCAGCAGCATTATTCATAATAGCCAAAAAGTAGAAACAAGTCAAAGATCCATAAGATAGTGAATGGATTGACAGAATATGGTCCATTTATACATGAAATGCTGTTCGGCATTGAAAAGAATGAAGTACACGCTGTACTATGGATGAAACTCAGAACACTGTGATAAGTAAAAGAAGCCAGACAGAAGAGAAGGCATATTGTATGAGTCATTTATGTGAAATGTCCAGAAAGGCAAACAGACAGAACGTCGATTAGCGGTTGCCTGGGCCCAAGGTGGGAATGGGCGCTCACCTGGCGGGAGGACATCCTGCTGAGGGGATGAGAGTTCTAAAGCTGTCTTATGGGGATGGCTTCACACTTGGTCAGTTCACAACAAAAAATGAATTATACACTCAAACGAGTGAATTTTATAAATTGTACCTCAATATAGTGGTAGAATATTGGTAATGTTTATTATAAAAACAAAATGAATTAGAAATAAGGAGATTTGGTTTGATAATATTAAGAGATTAGTATTGGATATCTACTACACATTCAGCATTCGGCTAAGTATATTGAAAGATACAAAAGTGTAAGAGCTGGTTCCCAAGCTGTCCTGGGGTAGTGTGGGCAAAATTGTTTCCAAAGATAAAAGCTAAAACAGACATAGCAAACTTCTCCCCATCTCGTACCCACAGTAATACTTCTGACCCTTAGCATGGCCTCCGAATCATTCCGAACAAGCACTTACTATAACAGGTCAGAGGCAGTACCAGAGGTACTTAGTCATTTTGACATTTATGTACAAAGAGAGGGAAGGGAACCCAGCTGGTGTTGCTCAGTGGTTGAGTGTAGACCCATGAACCAAGAGGTCCCGGTTCTATTCCCATGGGTTGTGGGCTCAGTCCCTGGTGTGGGGCATGCTGAGGGCAGTCAATCCATGACACTCTCTCATCATTGAGATTTCTCTCTCTCCTCTCTTCCTCTCTGAAATCCATAAAAAATACATTTTTTAAAGTGTGAAGAGAAAGGCAATTCAGGGTGAGCAACAGTGAGATTAGAGAGGGACTTTCTTTCCTAGAAAAGGTGAGTTTGACTTGAAACTTGAATTGGGGGAGAAGTCGTTCCAGGTGGCAAGGACATAGCACAGGCACGGAAAGCGAGTGTGACCTACAGGTTAACATCGCCCTGAATCAGGAGGAAACACCAGGGATCTAATACAAAGTTAGAAAGAAAAATGGAGGACCTTGGAGGTTAAATTGGAGATCACTTACTCTCTTCTTCAGTTTCTCTAGTTACTGTAATATCCCACCAATGAAGTTATACTTGCCCATTTTTACCCAGTTAAATGTGTTGTCCCCAGTAGTATAAAGTGGGCATGATAAATGCAGGAAGTAGAATCATTTAAGTATGAGTCTTTTTTTAAACTTATAACATAGATCCTTGTAGGAGGTAGAATGCCATACCAATAAATTACCAGGAACCAGGTAAAACCCAGTGTCAAGATCTAATTCTCAGGTTAAATTATTAGCAGCTTTGCTATTTATCAACATTTTAAGCCAAATCACTTTATACTCTTGAAACTCTTAAAAATCCTGTGTTATATAGCATATATGCAAATGATGTACTTACACCAGATTATAAATCTGTTCTACATTGCAGCACAATTGGCACCACACCTGTTGTTTGATATAATTATTTATGTAAAATAAAATGCCTTATATTATTAAAGATTAAGTGCAATAATATGAAATAGCCTGTACATTTTTAAATGTCGCCAAGTTATGTAAACCCACATCTCTGTAAACAACTTTTTAAAAGTAATTTTAAAAAAATAAACACTCTGCTTATTAAAAAAAAAAATTAAATACAATTTTATCCTCATGTACGTGGTTAAGTTAGTCCAATCAGTGGAAAGAAGATACCTGCAACATCAGTTTTTAAATTTTCATTATTAATCAGCATGAAAAAAAAACAGGAAATGGTTGTTTAAATGGTCATTTTCTTAAGTCTACCTCCTATGTTATGCTGAATTATCCTCAACAAATGTATTTCTTCAGTGCCTATTCTGGGCCATGGATATCACAGAGATCCGCACAGGTTAAGCTAGAATGCAGTCCACACTCCACACAAGGAAAGAAATGACCCTGCAGAGAAGGCCAGGACCTGATGATGGAGCATGCCACCATTCCAGATTGAAGGGATGGCAGGAAGAGTGACATGCATTTATCAAAAAATAAAGAAGTGATCGCCTGAACGATGAACAGAGGAATAGAAGAGATTGTGTAGGTGCTAAAGAGATGGAAGTCACAAATGAGCAGCAGTGTAGGATTGGGGGGAAGCTTATAAGAAAAGGAAGATATGGATTTAGTGTTGAAATTTTGGCAAGAGCCCTGGCCAGCGCGCCTCAGTTGGTGGGACATTGTCCCACGCAATGGAAGATTGCTAGTTTGATTCCCGCCAGCGCACATGCCCTGGTTTCGGGCTCCATCCCCAGTAGGGGGCGTGCAGGAGGCAGCTAAGATCGATGTTTCGCTCTCCCTTCTTCTCCCTCTAAAAATCAATTTAAAAATCTTTATAAAAACAAAGATTTTGGCAAGAATATTCTAAACCATTTGAAGAAAAGAGTGATAGAGGTTTCTTAAAGGTTGTATTTGCTTACACCCAAAATAAATAAGGATCAAGATATGAAAATTAGTTAACTACAGCTAGGCATAACAGCATGGATATTTCTCACATTGTTGAGTGCAAGAAGCCAGACACACAAAAATACAAATTACATAATTCCATGTATATATAACTTAAAAAAAACAGGCAAGATAAATATATATTAGTATGTTAAAGTGCATGCTTGGGTAGAAGACATATAAAATAAAGCGAAGAAGGAAGAATCGGGAAAGGCAGCTGGCCCTTTGCAGGGGAAGAGGTGAGTGAGGAGGAGGCACAGGAAAAGCTGGGTGGCCAGGTTCTGTCCCGCCTGGGGCCGCGCTGTGCGCGGTGCCCGTGCTCCTCAGTCTGTCCCGGCCTCCGTGCTTTAGTCAGTTCGCAGGGAGAGGGCGAGGCCCCTCACGGTCCTCTGACTTTCCCCCTCTTGCTCTTTCTCATCACTACACCTGTCCCAAGAAGTTATGTGAAGATTTTTACCCTGGTGCATCAGTCCTTCATTTAATTAGTAGTAAGTGGGGTTTTAAGTGCCCCACCCTTCCCATTTTCTAATAACGTGAAGTCCTTTACTAGGTTTCCCATATAGTTCATTTTAACAGTGAGGATTGATGAAAACATACAGTTGAAATTCTCTACATTGATAGGGACATACATCTTTATCCCCCCATCTACACTCTGCACTTTGTAAGATCGGAAACGACTTTTCAAAATTCCTCATGTTGCCTACTATATAATAGGTGTTCAGTAAATACTTGGTTAAAAGCATGCTTCTCTCTTGGAGATACAAAATCAGTAACTTTCTTAATTATCAGCAGTACACTGGTGTATTGCTTGATGTCCGTTTATGACCAGACATATAATTAGCCTATAGCCATGTTCGCTGAGTGCTAAAAATGTCTGTACATGATTTGTAATTCTAACACCAGGCATTTTTCTTTTGTTGATTTGGGATTTTAATATAATGCAGCTGCACTTAAGTCCTCCTAGTTATGGCTGATCTGTTTGCTGTTTTGTTTTGATGTCCCTGGATTTTGGCTAAAATTTTTAATTACTAGCTCCTTCCCCTCAGGACCATTTCTACAGACCTTTAGAAGTGCTGTATTGAAGCTGTGTACACTGTCTTAGGTAGCATATTGTTGGCAACTAAAGGAGCTTAGCTGGTCATGTGACATTGCTGTTTGGTAAGCTCTCTTGGGCATCCTTCTTTAAAACAAATGGGGAAAGCAGTGTCTAATACCCCAGTTAACAATCTGTGCTTTCAAAAGAAAAACTGCATTCAGTCTAATTCTAGAAAGGTTCTTTGTATTCAGTTTTGCATTTTAATTGCAAAATGAATTTCTAAAATTTAGATTTATTATAAACAAATACTTCTCATGCCTGACTTACTAAATAGTCTTTGTTCTAGCCAGCCATTTAATTTTTCTGTTCATATTTTAAACGAATATAATTAATCTGTAGACTATATGATGCTTCATTTTACAAAAAAGCGGATGTATTTTAAGATTTATAGATTTTTTTAAAAGATTTGTTTTTATTACCTTATAATAAAAATCATTCATTTGAGAAACCATTATTTTCTGTTGTGAAAGGCACCTAAAATTTTGTAGTTTCCTATTGTAGAACACTAAAAACAAATACCACAAAACTAAGTGAAATATAGTTAGAGATTTCATAGAGTTTTGTCTTATAAATGTCCATAAGCTACCCCCTCCCCCCAGCTCCACCAAATGATCCATGTGCTATACTGACATATAGCATAGACTTCTTCTCCAGGTCATTTCTGTTTGTTCTTTTTTTTTTTTTTTTTAATATATTTTTATTGATTTTAGAGAGGAAGGGAGAGACAGAGAGAAACATCAATGATGAGAAGAATCATTGATAGGCTGCCTCCTGCACGCCCCTTACTGAGGATTGAGCCCGCAACCTGGGTATGTGCCCTGACTGGGAATTGAACATTTCCGATGCTCTACCCACTGAGACAAACTGGCTGGGGATAATTATTGATTGATTGATAGATTTTATTGATTTCAGAGAGGGAGAGAGAGATAGAAACATCAATGATGAGCCCTAACTTGTTTGGCTCAGTGGATAGAACATCGGCCTGCGGACTGAAGGGTCCCAGGTTCGATTCCGGTCAAGGGCATGTACCTCTGTTGCAGGGACATCCCCAGTGGGGAGTGTGCAAGAGGCAGCTGATTGATGTTTCTAACTCTATCTCTCTCCCTTTCTCTCTATTAAAAAGTCAATAAAATATGTGTTGTTTTTTTAAAGAAAAAAAGAAACATCAATGATGAGAAAAAAATCATTGATTGGCTGCCTCTTGCACACCCCCTACTGGGGATCAAGCCCACAACACTGGCATGTGCCCTTGACTGGAATCGAACCCAGGACCTTCAGTTTGCAGGCCAATGCTCTGGGGCTTCTGTTTGTCTTAACATATAGATCACTCTTCCTAAGTGAATTATTTGACTCATACACCTAGCTAATAGAAGCAATTTTGTTTTGTAGAAATATTTAATGTTTTATTTCACCAAAATCCCTAAATAATGTTCTTGGGGATGGGTAAGTTTACCGAAAACAATTTTTAAATGTTGGTTGATAATTGCAACCTTTTGTGTCTAGTTATGTTCATCTGGGCTTGGGCCTGGGCATTGTATAATAATTGTTTTTAAGCTCCCCAAGGTGATTCTGATGATCAGACAAGGACAGAGAACCACTGTGCTACATACTTACTATTTGTTCCTTAAAATGTTCCCATAAGATAATTTTTCTGATTTACTGTTTTCAGATCTTATGTTCTCTCCCTTTCCCCACCCCCAGTCAGTCCTCAACTGTTAGCAACAGTGAGGAAGATTGTTAACATCAGTACATTAAACCCCAGATGATGAGAAATAATTTCAGTCAGTGGTTTAAACTGCCTTTTACCAAGCCTATACACAAGACCCCAAATGTATTCAGATTGGCAAATCTGAATGCTTACTACCTTTGAAAGTTCTTGATTTCGTTTCTGTTTTTGTTCTTGGCACCCTGTCACCCAGATCGTTAGTACCTCAGTTCAACAAGTATTTTTTGAGCAGCTACTAGAATGAAGGCATTCTAAGGAGAGCAAGTAGTTTATAATGCATCGGGCAAGAGAGATTTAGGCGGCCCACAGAATCTATACCTTATATACCAGTCCCTAGATTGTCTGCATTCTAAAACGTTAATGCATCTAACGTACCTGGCATGCTATACGTTAATATGTCCCTTTTTCTCTCTTTTAGGTATCCAAACTATTGACTCTACCCAGGCCCTGTTCCTTCCAATCGGAGCATCTGTCTCTCTCCTAGTTATGTTCTTCTTCTTTGACTCAGTTCAAGTAGTCTTTACAATATGTACAGCAGGTAAATTAATTTCTGTCTATTAACATTAATCTAAAAGGAAATGTGTTCACCATTTTTTATCATCATTCAAAAGTTAAGATTTACTACTATACACTGTGCCATTCATCAAGTGTTTCTTTTAAGTCTGGCTTTCCCTCCCCTCACTCCTCCTTGAGCCACTTGAGCCACATAGTTCAAACCTGCCAACATCATCTGAACACAAGGCCGGGGGTTGAAACCTCGTGAGCTTTATGACACCAGGACAGGATCACTTTGCTGTGGCTCCTTGTCTGGTCAGTTACCAGAAAGCCCAGTTTGGCTCAGTGGTCATCGGCAACCCTTCCTGACGTTTCCACAGGTAGAAACACTGATATCTAATCAAGGTAATTTGACTGTCCGCTCTCTGATCAATGTTTAAGCTAAGCAATGATGGAAATGTGTAATACTATATGAACAACATGCTAGACTTGTTAGGGGATGATACCATGGCCCGCTATTTATCTTTTCTTGTTGAGATAGAATAAAATGAGAAAATCTACCTATGCCTCCCCTACTTCATTCAAATCAGGCACTTTTTTTTTTTTAAGAGCTTATTTGCGATGCTAAAGGAAAATACTTTCTTCTCTGGTTAATGTGATTGTATCTACTTGCCAAGAAAAGTTTCTGGGAAATGATTAAGTTTCCATAAGTCACTGCCATTTTTTATAATGGAAAAATAAATCACACACAACAAAATTTATACATTTTCTCTCTGTAGTTCTTGCAACGATAGCTTTTGCTTTTCTTCTTCTCCCGATGTGCCAGTATTTAACAAGACCCTGTTCACCTCAGAACAAGTAAGTTGGAAATTTCCTCTAAATTATAAACATAATTTTTCCCCCACGCTTATTAGCATTATTAGGCATCTAATGTTTTTTTTTTTTTTTTTAATTTTTATTGATTTGAGAGAGATTTGTTCCACTTATTCATTCATTCATTCGTTACTTCTTGTATGTGCCCTGACCGGGGTTAAAACCCACAGCCTTTGCATATTGGACGGTACTGGCTAAGCCACCTGGCCAGGCCTATATTTCTTATTCTTGTATTGACTGGAGCTCACAGGCTAGAAAACGGGGGAGTGAGCTGTTTGGTTTTTAAAATTGGAAGATGGTAGCATTTCCTTTTTCACCTTTTCATAGCAGAGGAAATATAGAAAAATGCTAGGAAATCAGAGTCATTGTAATATGCTTCCTTCTTAGCTTATTGAAAGATGAAACTTTTCCTTTTTAAAGCAACGCTTTCATTCTTTTACTAGTGAGTTAGTGGAATATTCTGACATTCTTTGCCTTTTATCTTGGGTGACCTAGAATCACTTAGGTTTAATCCTATTGTTCACACCTTAACTCCCACAGCTATTGCTCCATGGAAACAGAAGTCTGTTGTTGGTGGAGATGCTGTATGCACTTAGGAAACAATCACTTGGGGCAGCTAATATTCCCAGGAATCAGATAGATTTATGTACACTAATAAAAGAGAAACATGCAAATTGACCATCCCTCTGCTACACATACCACCAGCCAATCAGGAGAGAGTATGCAAATTAACCCAACAAAGATGGCAGTGGCCACAGAGTTGGAGTGAGCAGGGGGCTTGGGTTGCCCCCGGTAACAGAGGAAGCCAAACTTCTGCCCGCCTGCCCTAGCTGCTGCTCAAGGAGTGGCTGGAGAAAATAAAAAGGAAGGGCTGGGAGCCTTGGTCGCTGGGGGGCATGGCCAGCCTGAAAACAGTCCTCAGCCCCTCACCCTGGCTGGCCAGGCACCCCAGTGGGGACCACCACCCTGAAGTGAGTGTGGCCAGCCTGAAAACAGCCCTCAGCCCCTCACGTAGGCCGCCCCCACGCCCCAAGGGAACCCCCACCCTGATCCAGGACACCCTTCAGGGCAAACCAGCCAGCCCCCACCCAGGCAGCAGGCCTCTATACTAATAAAAGGACAATATGCTAATTAGACTAGGAGACCTGGTGTTGTTCTGGACAAAATCATAGTGTGAAGCTGAGGTAGAGAGGTCAGGGGGAGGGCAGTTGTGGGTGATCACGCCGGCGGGGGGTGGGGAGCAGTTGGGAATGAGAAGACTAGCAGGGGGCCCAGTTGGGGGCAAGCAGGCTGTCAGTGGGGGCCAGTTGGGGGTGATCAGGACAGCAGTAGGGGGCAATTTGGAGTGAGCAGGCCAGCAGCGGGGAAGTTGGAGCGAGCAGGCCAGTGGGGAGGAAAGATGGGAGCGAGCAGGCCAACAGGGGGGCAGTTGGAGGTGAGCAGGCCAGCAGAAGGGGCATTTGAGGGTGAACAAGTCGGTTTGCAGAGTGGTTAGGAGCAGGCAGGTAGGCAGGCATGTGAGCGGTTAGGAGCTAGCAGTCCCAGATTGCGAGAGGGATGTCTGACTGCCGGTTTAGACCCATTCCCTGTAAACCGGCAGTAGGACACCCATATTGGAGAGGGTGCAGGCCGGGCTGAGGGATTACCCCCCCCCCCCCCACATCCCACCCTCGTGCACAAATTTTGTGCACCGGGCCACTCATTATCTTATAAGTATTAATTCATCCTTGCTAAATGAATTGAATTAACATTCTTCAATGTCTTCTTTGTATAATAGTATTTCCCCTGTACTTAGAATCTTCAAAGATTGATGTTGTCACTTTAAACTTCTAAAAACCCATGTTGATAATTTGGGATAAAAAGTACATTATCAGCCCTAGCTGGTTTGGCTCAGTGGAATACATTTTTTTTGAAGTATATTATCAGATGGGTTCAGAAATATAATTCTCTGATCTCTCTGTAGTTTAAGAGGTTTGGTTATTTTTATAGCCAGGTGTATAGATACTTGCCTCCTACTCTAATCTGGCCCTAGTGAAATCAGATCATGAAGAACCAGAAGAGAGCTTGGTTAGGGAATGAAATGTATTGCTCGTTAGGCCACTAAATGTCATGTGTTCCCAGGATTTCCTTCGGTTGCTGTGGACGTTTCACTGCTGCTGAGCTCCTGTCCTTCTCCCTGTCTGTCATGCTGGTCCTCATCTGGGTTCTCACTGGCCACTGGCTTCTCATGGACGGTGAGTAACTAACATGTGGTAAGTTAAACTCCAATATAGTTTATAGGTAGTTAAATTGGGTCCCCCTTCCTCTGCTATCTGTGTATCAGTCATACTTCCTTTGATTACCATGAATATTAGGAATCTAAAGGTAGTGAGTGTTACGTATCATTGAGTTTTTTATTATTTTTACCCACATTTTAAAGGTTTTTTAAGAAGGCCTTTTTTAAGGTATAATTCACATACATACAACATACAATTTACCTATTTAAAGTGTATGACTCAGTGGGTTTTGATATAATCACAGAGTTGTACAACCATCACTACAGTCGATTTTAGTGCATTTTTATCACCCAACCTCTAAAACCAGTTGCCAACCGGTGGTCCTTGAGGTCCGAAAAGTTAGCGACCGCAGCTTTAAAACACATGCCCAGTATCAGTCACTTCCCCTGGGCCCACCCCCACCCAGGCCAGCACCAGTCACCACTTAGACCACTTTGTGTCTGAGTTTGCCTCTTCTCAACAGTTCAAAACCAAGGATGCTGTTCTGCTCATGGCCAAATTGGATATAATTTAACAAAAAGGATTTTAAATTCTATTTCTCCCCTTGTAATCCAGAATCAATAATATATTCTTAATAGAGAAGAAATTTTAAACCTAAGGGAAACTAAAATCTTACCTTCTATTTCAAGATATTTTTTTTCTCTCATAAGTTATTTTAACCAGTATAAGGACTTGAAATTTATATGTATGAAATTAATTAATGAATAAACTCTAAGAAACTGCATATTAATAGGGAAAAAGCTATAGAGTGGATTGTAAGCTCTAAAATTATATTTGAATGGCATGTTATTTTAATTAAAGGTGATAATTACAGAAAAAGGTACTTTTTAAAAAATATATGACATATTTATTTTTAAATATGTTTTTGCTTAAGAAGATAAAATCATAGTGATTGAGAATAGATGAGTGGTTGCTGTGGTTCTATGAATAGGAAGAAATAACAGGGATTTTATTGGTGTGGTACAGCTGTTCCATACACTGAGTGTGGTGGTAGTTCTATAAAACCGTTAGAATTCACAGAATCATACATCTAAAGAACAACTGTCAATTTTACTGTTTGATAACCTTAAAAGTTTTAAACATATATATTTGTAACTATATATCATTTGTTTGTATATATTTGTTGTCATAGTTGTTATTCAAATTTTTTTTTTTGAGAGCTTATCATATACCAAATATTCAAAGACAAAAGCGGTTCCTTGAGATTCCAGGCAGATTAACCTTCAGAATGACATACAGTCTTTAATGACTCAGGATGGGAGGGCTGAGTCAAAGTCACCAGTGCCTGCTCCCTGCTGGGATTCACCTTTGCTGGTTTCCGACAACTTTGGTGGTATTTTAGCATCATACATTGCCGTATAAAAATGTTTACTGTGATCATCTGCGTCAGTACTCTAGTGCCACTGTGCATGTAAGCCTTCTGAAGCCGGTGTTTAAAGTGTTCAAGTGGTTGTCAGAACTGCTACGTTTCCCAAATTGAGTGTCAGTGCTTTCGGTATTCTTAGGAATTGGTGTTTGGTGTTTGGTACTTCTCTGCTTCTGGAGGTTGAAAAAGAGTGAGCTGAGAAACAGACATTACATCCAAGAGTCCCACGAGCTGCCCGCCCGCCTGTGGGAGCAGGGTACTGTCTGTTTTAGGTGCTAGCATTCTGGTGTTGAGAGTGATGCCGTGGCAGGTGTTTGACTTTTCCTGAGATTACATCTTGATTTCTGTAGCAGAATGATTGAACTAATAGCACAGGTATAAATTGAGCACTTACTTTACTCCACCTACACAAACGTCATGTGAAATGAGATGATGAAGCTTCAGGTGCCACTTTTTCACCTAGAGTAAACAGCCTATATAATAAAGTGATAATATGCAAATTGACCATCACACCCTCACAAAGACAGGCTTGCAGAGGGATTAGTGAGGGATGAACAAACAACTGAACAGCAGACTGTGAGGGTTGACCAGGCCGGCAGTTGCGGGTAATTAGGCTAGCAGGGGGACAATGCGGGGTGACTAGGCTGGCAGGGGGCAGTTGGGGACAACCAGGCTGGCAGGGGGTGCAATAAGGGGTGACCAGGCCAGCAGAGCGGGGGGTGGGGGGGGGGGTGCAGTTAGAGGAGACCAGGCAGTCAGGAGTGATTTGGAGCCAGAGGTCCAGGATTGTGAGAGGGATGTCCGACTGCCTGTTTGGGCCCGAGGCCTAAACAAGCAGTCGGACACCCCCCAAGGGGCCCTGGATTGGAGAGGTGCAGGCTGGTCTGAATGGACCCCTCTCCCCCGTGCATGAATTTCCTGCACCAGTCCTCTAGTAAAGCAATAATCACCCACCCAGGCCAAGGCTGGTTTGGCTCAGTAGATAGAGCATCGGCCTGCGGACAGAAGGGTCCCGGGTTTGATTCCGGTCAAGGGCATGTACCTTGGTTGCAGGCACATCCCCAGTGGGGGGTGTGCAAGAGGCAACTGATCGATGTTCTCTCATTGATGTTTCTGGCTATCTCCCTTCCTCTCTGTAAAAATTCAATAAAATATATTTTTTTAAAAATAAAAATAATCACCCACCCAGGACTAATAGGTATCTCTGCTAGCAGATTCAGATCCATATGGTAACAAAGGATGCTTTAAGTACCCTCGTGGTCTGAGCTTCTCTAATCCCCTACTAACTTTTGGTGGTTCTGCTTTTGTGGAACTTTTTATTCATGTGTCCAGACACACACGATAATATTTACAGGTTTTACTAAGGGTTTTAAGTTTACTAAGTGCTGACCCCAAAAAATCAGATATCTCTCAAAACAGCAAGCAATGTGTTGTTCATACTCTCATTTTTACTCCCCCTAAGCAATGAATAGAACAGACAAACACCTATTTGTTCAGCAAGGTTAACATAAACCCTGACTGGGAGATTTTTACATCATTTTCTGTCATTATTGCTATTTGCCAATATTTACTTCTTCCTACCAGGTTGCACTGGTTAAACTTCCCTTGTGAACAAGTATAGAATTTTCCCTCAAAAAAAAGGGAGGGGGGTGGGGGGGGACAGAGGCTCTTGCAGTTTTCCAAGTCTAGTCGAATAAGGCTGTCTCCTGGCATAGATACAGCTGATCCTCCCACCCCACCAACTCAGGGAAGCAGCAAAAATGCCGATACAAGGAAACAGATCACAAACAAAAGAAATGGAGGACAAAAAGCGACTGGATATAGAGTTCAAAACCACACTTGTAAGGTTTTTCAAGAATCTCCTAGAAAAGGCCGATAAAATAAACAAGACCTATGAAGATACGAAAAGGGATCAACTAGAAATAATGAAGGATCAACTAGAAATAAAGAATACATTCTCTGAAATAAAAAAATATTATACAGAGTCCTAAAAACAGAATGGAAGATCGTAAGAATCAAGTCAAAGATTTGGAACACAAAGAGCCAGAGGACACTTCTACAGAAGCAAGAAGATAAGAGAATCCAGAAAGTTGAAGATAATGTAAGAAACCTCTGGGACAACTTCAAGCGAACCAGCATCAGAATTATGGGCATCCCAGAAGATGACAGAGAACAAGATACCAAAAACATATTGAAAGAAATAGTGACAGAAAACTCCCCACACCTGGTGAAAGAATTAGACTTACAAGTCCAGGAAGCACACAGAACCCCAAACAAAAGGAATCCAAAGAGGACCACACCAAGACACATCCTAATTAAAATTCCAAGAGCAAAAGACAAAGAGAGAATATTAAAAGCAGCAAGAGAAAAGCAGGTAGTTACCTATAAAGGAGCACCCATACGATTGTCAGCTGATTTCTCAACAGAAACCATGTAGGCCAGATGGGAATGTCAAGGTGATGAATAACAAGAACCTACAGCCAAAAATACACTACCCAGCAAAGCTATCACTCAGAATCGAAGGCCAGATAAAGAACTTCACAAATAAAAAAAAGCTAAAGGAGTTCATCACAGCTAAACCAGAATTATATGAATTGCTGAAGAGGGTTCTTTAGGAAGAGGGAGAAAATAAAGATATGTAACTATCAACAAGTGAATCTAAAAACCAAGGAAATTAAAAAACCTGATGAAAAATATTAACTGTTAAATATAATAGAATCAGAGGTATGGAAGGGGAGTGGACTGACAATTCTCAGGGAAAACGGGAGTGGTGGGTGCGGGAAGAGACTGAACATAAACTGTGCGCCTATGGATGAGGACAGTGGGGGGTGGGGAAAGGGCAGAGGGTGGGGTGGGAACCTGGTGGAGGGGGGGGAAAATGAGGAACTTTTGTGATAATATGAACAATAAAGATTTATGAAAAAAAGGGGGGGGGCCTTTGAGCTTTTTAATTGTTTTTCAGATTTGTGACTGTGTGTGCTGACTTGTTTTCTCCTCTTATATAAATGTAGCTTTCTAGCCGCGATCTTTAACATTCTCAGATAGGTTTTTCTCTGATGTAGAAATTATCTTTCCAGACTTCTCTGCAGAATCAGAAATCATCTTGTAGGCAGTGATTTGGTAGTCATGTTTTTTAAATGAGTGTTTCTTTGCAATTAATTTAGAGTGAAAACAGAATGGTAAATGTGATTGTTTTAGGGCCAGGCATGATGTATATTTTCAGGGTTATACTAAGAAGCATTAATATTAAGAAGGAACTTCAAAATTTTCTTGAACTAAATCTAGAGCTTTTTTTTTTTTTTTTTAAATATATTTTATTGATTTTTACACAGAGAGGAATTGATAGGAATAGAGAGTTAGAAATGTCGATGAGAGAGAAACATCGACCAGCTGCCTCCTGCACACCTCCCACTGGGGATGTGCCCGCAACCGAGGTACATGCCCTTGACCGGAATCGAACCCGGGGCCTTTCAGTCCGCAGGCCAACGCTCTATCCACTGAGCCAAACCGGTTTCGGCTAGAGCTTTTTTTTTTTTTTTTAACTTCCTCTGTTTCATCTGGTAAATTCACCTTTAATTGGGGAAGCTTTAAAGGGTTTGGCCAACAGGTGGAGTGGGGTGTGAGCAAAAAGCTGGGGAGTCTTGTGCACACATACCGAGTGTTCAGGGATCGGGTGGCCGGGGTCACAGTCTGCCTCCGGCCCACTTAGAGACTAGAAGAGTCTTCACAGATGTCTAGCCAGCCCTTCACTCCTCAGCGCTGGCTACTAAGTTTGATTAAAAATGTTTAGTGTCAGAAATCTAGAAATCTGTTTTTTTGTTTTAAAATTCTATACTCTGGCACTCAGTCCACATAGAGCTTAGCTATCTAGAGATCTAAGAAGCAAGACGGCTTAAGACCCTACAGGTTACATAATCCTCTTCAAGAGCATTTAAGCTCCGTTTGGTGTCATTGTCTTTGTCCTTCCCCTGCTGGTTGTGGAAGACAAGGTGATAGCAGAGATTATATCAGTAATAAATTGGAAGTAATTATAGCTAGCTAAGATTAATAATTTACTTCCCTAACACTGTTGCTTAATTTACATTGAACCGAAAGGTAAGTGTCGGGGAAGCTATCAGGGAGAGTCTTGGGAGTTTCCCAAGCAGCGCGGAGCAGGGGGAGGGACCATCTCCTCACTTGGGCTTGGGAAGCCGGGGAGAGGGTGAGAGTGTCCGGTTATTGAAAGAAAGAAAGAAAGAATGACAAAAAAGAGAGCAAACCAGATGAGTGGTTGTTCCAGTGGTAAGACAGCTTGTAGCAATTATCCATTGGGTGTAGGAGTGATACTCATTCCAGAGACTTATATTACGAATTTCTCTGAGCGCTCAGGATGCCTTCTGCCTTTTCAAACACGGAACTTCAGGGGCGGTGGGGAGACGTGGTTGGCGTGGAAAGGGGTATTGCTCCCTGGAGAGGGGAGGCCTAAGAGTGGGATAGCGCGGCCGGCGTGGCTCTGTTGAGCGGCAGCCCACGAACCAGGAGTCAGGGTTTGATTCCTGTCAGGGCTCAGGCCGGGGTTGTGAGCTCGGTCCCCCGTAGGGGGCGTGCAGGAGGCAATCGGTGATTCTCTCTCATCGTCGATGTTTGTTTCTCCCTCTCCCTTCCTGTCTCTGAAATCTATTTAGAAAAGGAGAGAGAGAAAGTAAAGAACGATCCAGGGAGATGGAGCCTGCGGCTGAGCCTGGGTGCACAGCGCTGTGTGTGGGCCGTGCCGGGCGCGGGGCTGTGGAACAGACTTGACCCACCTCAGAGGCGGCCCGGGGGCTGGAGGCGGGACGTGCTGTGAGCCGTTTACAGTGACAGGGAGAGGAAGTGGGCACGCTGACCGAGGTTTGCGGTAACAATAAGGACCACACCACACAAGGGCTACAGTGAGTGTCCATGCATGAAAGACGTGATAAGTTGAAAATGAACCCAGAGTTTCTTGTTTGGAAGCTTAGAGAAAAAATGACATTGTCTACAGCCGTGATTTCCAACTGGTGTGCTGCAAGGATTTTTAAAACATGCGGTGCCTGACTGTTATGGGCACTGACCTCTTTTCCCTTTTAGGGGTGTCGAACTCAATCAGAGAAGGGGCCAAAATCTAAAATCCAGCCTAAATCGCGGGCCGAATGGTTTACTGAACAGTCATAAACTGTCATTGTGATGGAAACGCAGCGGAGTGCAGTGATGACAGCGCGGTGCGGGCCACATTGCAAGGCCTGGCGGGACGGATTTGGCCCGCGGGCCTTGTGTTTGACACATGTGCCTTAGATTGTCAAATTAACAAATGTCAACAGCCAACAGCTGTCAGTGTGAATGAATCAAAATTATACCACTTTTTCTTGTCAGATTGGCAAAAAATATATTTTTGGGTGTGCTGCAGAGATGTAGTAATTAGTTTATGGGTGCCAGGAGATGAGACGTTGGAAAATCGTGATCTAGAGGTGTGGGAAGTTCTGTCACTGCGAGGTTGTGTTGTGTTGTCAGTGCCTGGTCTGACCTCGGTGAGCGGGGTTAGCATAGGTGAGTGATTAAGCGTGAGTGATGCGTGGAGACCTGGAAAGGTTCCTGCTGGCTTAGGATTGAGCGATGGAATGGTAAATTGAATAGAAAAGTTCTGAATGGACCGGCCGCTGCATGTGTTGGAGGCATATGCTTTTCACCTTGGGAGCCTGCCCTTTGCTTGTCTGCCCAGTGGGTTCCCGTGCCCTCTGTGAGTTACCAGCAGTCAGTCCTCTGGCCCGCCCTACCCGCCTCAGGTCTTCATTTCCTCCTTTGGTCCCTGACACTTCCCGCTCCGTGTGTTCATTTTAAGTTCCTGGAAAGATCACCTCTTGCTACCCCACACCGTCACTGCAGCCAGAATCCTAGTTTGGTCTGGTCTCTGTCCAGGGCTCCCTTCCTCCGCTGGCCACTCTTGTCCCTCCAGCCAGCAGAGCTTGCACCTGCGGGTGGTTTATTGATGGCACAGCCCAACGTTTGTTTCTGGGAAACCTCGTTATTAAACATTAGAGTGGGTTGATTGTAAGTGGGTCTTAAGTACATTCCTTAGCGCCTTAAACAGATTTCAGCTTGCAACTTGAAAAGTTTGAATCTTTGCAAAGCCTGATTGACTAATACAGTCCATTATATTCCTTTGAAATGGCATGAATTGGCATATTTTACCAGTTTGGTTCTGAAGGAGACCCTAGTAAAATGAGCATCGTAGATGATTGTAAGTCGGGCTTTCGGTCTTTATCACAGCTCTCCAAAATACACACTGGAGCCGCGTGATGCCTGATAACGACGACAGGAGGAAGAGAGAGAGTTTTCTTCCTAATGTTACTGTTTTTCCAACCCCTCTCTGTTGTAGGGATGGGAATTCTTTTTCTCTTCTGTTTATGCAACACCATAACTAAAGTGGGAACTTGTGAAATATTAGTTGAATTGCTACCTCCAGGGTGTGCCCAGCGGTTAGACATGGGGCCTCGTTTTAGTAGCTCACAGATGCTGCCCTCCACCAGCAGAAAGAACGACTCTTTCTCTCCAGACTCACTGTATGTGGTAATCTGGGACCTAACCATAATGCCTCTCAGATATGCCTGTATCTGCCCACTTTGCTACATACATTGACAATTTACCAACATTTTTAAAATGATACATGCCTGTAATAATGACTTCACTTGCTTTTCTTAGACTAATTTGGAATTTGAAGCTGATAGAACATAATTTTTCATTTATTCAGCAAATATTTGTTGAACAAATAAGCCATGGTTTCTGTTTACTAGGAGCACACAGCTTAGGGAATAACGGCGTGGGTATAAATAACTAGAGGCCCGGTGCATGGAAGTTCATGCACTGGTGGGGGAGTCCTTCAGCCCGGCCTGCCCTCTCTCTGTCTGGATTCCTCAGGGGCAGGAGTCGGCCTGGCCACCAGGGAAGGCGACGCCTCCATCCACCTCTGCTGCTGCTGACACTGCAGGCAGAGGAGTCTTGGCTGGTCCTGGTCACCGGAGCCTTGGCAGCTGCCATCTGAGGCAGCTGTGGGCGGAGGGGACTGGGGGACTCTGGAGGACGGACCCTCCTGGGGGTGGGCCTGGTCGTGCTGCATACCTGCTACCATTTGTAGCTGTGGGTGCCGCCATCTTCGAGGGCGTAGCAGTCAATTAGCATATTCCCTCCTTATTGGCTGTGGGTGCTGCCATCTTTGTGAGGGCATGATGGGCAATTAGCATATCCCTCTTTATTAGATAGGATGGTACTATTGTAAAATGGATGCAAAGAAAACAGCAACTTAATCTGGCCAGGCCAGGAAGGGCTTTCTGTCCTGGCCTCTTAAGAACGAGGATGAATTTTCCAGGGAAGAAGCCCCGATCAGGGCCCTCTGGGCAGAGCAGGAAAGAGCATAGTATGTGCAGAAAGGTATGATCACGTGTGACGTGGTATGTGCAGAACGGTACGACCATGTGTGACATGGTATATGCTGAACAGTACGGTCACGTGTGACATGGTATTGCGGAACGGTACGATCACGTGTGACATGGCATGTGCAGAAAGGTACGGCCACATGTGACATGGTATGTGCAGAAAGGTACGGCCACATGTGACATGGTATGTGCAGAACGGTACGATCATGTGTGACATGGTATGTGCTGAACAGTACGATCACGTGTGAGTGGCCTCGGAGCAGAGGGCGGGCACACTGAGGGCAGGCTGCACAGCGGAGAGTGCCCTCCGGTTCCTTCCCGCAGGGCCTGCTGAGCAGCTCCCGGGCATCCCCCCCTGAGAGCCCTCCGGAAGTCTAGGCGCCAGCCTGTTCTCAGGGACGGAGGGAGGGAGCTGAGGGCAGGGAGAGACATGCATCGGCCAGGCCGTCAGACTCCGGATGGAGGAAGCCTTGGCCTCGAGGACTTCCCTTCCGTTTGGAGGAGAGAGAAGTTTAAAAAGGACACGTCGTGTACCAGGTTTTGAGAGGTGCAGAGACAGAGAGGCATGAGCCCTGGGACAGAGCCCTGAGTAAAGCAAAGGGGGTGCCATAGAGGGCGGGTTAACTTGAAAGCAAAGAGCAAGGGTGATGACTCTGCAGTAATGGGGAGCAGGAGATGGAGGCCAGAGGCCAGGGCGGGCCTGTCTTGGCGCTTTATCAGAACAAGAGCTCCTGAGTCTCACGGGGCACGTCACAGTGAGAGAAGGTCCCCAAACAGCAGCAGGTCAGTGGGCTGACGCGGGCACTTTTGCACTGTGGGGTGTGATTCTTAGGCCAGAGCTGAAGGCTGCCTGCTTTTTGAGGGCTCCACAGCGTGGTTGGATTGACAAGCTGAATAGCCTGTATGCACACTGACCGCTGTCTCCTCCCCAGCCCTGGCCATGGGCCTCTGTGTCGCCATGATCGCCTTCGTCCGCCTGCCCAGCCTCAAGGTCTCCTGCCTGCTGCTCTCAGGGCTCCTAATCTATGATGTCTTTTGGGTAAGTGTCTGTGGAAGCGCTGCTCTCCTTGGTGTGTAATTGGAGTCAAGCATCTATCAGGGGTCCTCAAACTTTTTAAAGTGGGGGCCAGATCACGGTCCCTCAGAGAGCTGGAGGGCCGGACTATATGAACTACTAATTCCTACTGTAACACCTCGGCTGCGCTCACTGCCCAAAAAACCTGGCGGGCCAGATCAGACTCCTCTGCGGGCCGCATGTGGCCCGCGGGCCATAGTTTGAAGACGCCTGAAGAGTCTTCTGTCTAAGGCCACTCCCGCCAGGCCTGAGCCTGCAGCTGGTTGACGTGTGTTACAGAAGACAATACGTGTGAGATAGTTATGGTGGGAGAGGGAGTAGGCAAAGTTCTCAGCTCAAAGTATGCAGCCAAGAAAGCTTGAGGCCCTAGCCAATTTGGCTCAGTGCATCGAGCATCAGTCCGAGAAGTGAAGGGTTCCGATTCGATTCCGGTCAAGGGCAGGTACGTTGGTTACAGGCTCCATCGTCGGCCCTGATGTGCAGGAGGCAACCAATCAATGTCTCTCACATCGATGTTTCTCTAAAAATCAGTGGAAAAATATCCTCGGGTGAGGATTGACAAAAACAAAGACTTGCTGTCACAGTTTTCTGCAGCTCTGCTCTTAGGAACAAAGGGGCAGGTGCTTCTAACTCCCTCTCTTAAAGGAGACTCTCCCTTCGGCAGGTGTTTTTCTCCGCCTACATCTTCAATAGCAACGTCATGGTGAAGGTGGCCACCCAGCCGGCTGACAATCCCCTCGATGTGCTTTCCCGGAAGCTGCACTTGGGGCCCAATGTTGGGCGTGACGTTCCTCGCCTGTCTCTGCCTGGAAAACTGGTTTTCCCGAGGTAGGACTGACATGCAAGACCAGTGCACCTTCTCGTGCCTTCTTATGTGGTCTTTGTCAGCCAGTCTAATCCTAGAGGGAAAGGGTGTGAGTCAGCATCTCCATCTTACAAACGAGGAAGAGAATGTTGACTTGACTTGCAAAGGTTTATCAGTAAGGGATGCAGGTGCTGTTTTTATTATTGATTAATGTTATCAAATAACCACAGGTTACCACTGTTAATTCCCTCCAGCCAACTTCAAAATATATTAACGTGATTCTGGATCTTTCTATGTCTAAGACATTTGTAAAAATACGTCCTAATGCTTAAATTATGCCATTCCTGATAATAGGATCTGGAAACAATTAATGTGTTGCTTTAGTCTCCTGTGTCTGGTGGTAGTTGGGTGGTGTGACAGTGAATTGTTTGGCATTTCTAGAGACGGCAGTGCTTGCAGTCACCTACAAGGTGTTCTCGAAGCACTGAGGGGGGGGGGCGGACTTTATTGCTTGTGGCTTTCAATCTCTAAACTCTTAAACCCTAAGAAGCAACCTGTAGAGATGCCCATCGTCTGTTCCGATGCGTGCTCTGACTTCTTAAAGCTGACAGACTGCCCAGAGGAGGAGAGTAGGGTGTACAGCGTGGCTTCCCTGACCTCTGACCCTGCCTTCCAGCTCCACTGGCAGCCACTTCTCTATGCTGGGCATCGGAGACATTGTGATGCCCGGACTCCTGTTGTGCTTTGTCCTTCGCTATGACAACTACAAAAAGCAAGCCAACGGTGACTCCTGCGGCGCCTCTGGACCCGCCAACATCTCTGGACGCATGCAGAAGGTCTCCTACTTTCACTGCACCCTCATCGGATACTTCGTAGGTAAGAGAGACTCAGACACTGCATTTGGATCTTCTTTCTGGCTCCTCCCTCCTGGAATTAAATCGGTCTTCCAGCTGCAGGCCCTGGACGGAAGGCGAGCAGCTGTTAAGAGACAACCACCCAGGAAAGCACCCCCAGCCCATGAGGCGATAGGTGCTGACTGACTGGCCAGCCTGGTTTGCTGTCTGAAGAGCATTGTAATAAGAGTACGGTTTGGCCTCAAAGCCAAGAACACCTGCCACATAATGGTCATGGGTCAGTCTCTGTGCTTAATTAAAAATCTCAGGCTTACTGAAGCCATGTGTATTTCCCTTCATTTGTTCTGTCACTTCAGACTCTCCCAGGCTAGCTCTTCTCCAGCCCGCTCACTACAGGCAGGCAGGAATAGTAACCGCCTGCCACTGCACTGCCTCCTGCTGCACGTCACTGGTTCCATCGCAGCCCCATGTGCACGGTTCGTTTCCGTCCCAGACTGCGGGGCAGAGCCAAGGTGCTGCCCATCAGACAACCGCCGGGCGGCTCCAAGAGGTGGAATGCCTTAACCGAGGTTACAGAGCTTTGGAAGTAGCAGAGTGGAAACTTGAACCCAGGTCTTTTGCTTCCAAGTCTAACATCACATACCACAGGAGAGAGAGGGAGGCCAGGCACACTCAGGGCTGAAGTGGGAGTTGGTCGCAGGGCCTTGGAATTCAGTGATTTTTTTAAAAACTGTGCAGACAGTGTTCAGCTGCTCGAGCTAGACATTTTATAACCCCCATTGGGAGGAACATGCCTGTTGTTGGGTGTGTCTTGGCGCTGGAGGTTGTGCATATCTAATGTGACAGTCTCCTCCGGGGCTGGCCCCTTTGCCTTACTCTCGAATGCTTCTCTCCTCAGGTCTGCTCACTGCTACCGTGGCCTCTCGCATCCACCGAGCAGCGCAGCCCGCCCTCCTCTATTTGGTGCCATTTACCTTGTTGCCACTCCTCACGATGGCCTACTTAAAGGTGAGAGAAGCCGTTATAAACCTGTGAGCACAATAACTTGGCATTGATCTTGGATTTGGGTATGTATTCTCCTTGCTGGAGGTGGACCTACTAAGCCCCTGACCTTGACAGTGGGGTCTTGTTCTTTCATTTTACTAGCCTGATATTAGCAGCATCTTCCAGATTCTGGCAGCCACTGAGTTAGACCACTGTGTCCCCTGTTCCTGGGTCATTAACGGCATCCTAGAGCCAGCTGCAGAATTCTCTAAAAGCAGCACCTGAAGCTCTTTGAATGCTCTGCATTCGGGGTTGAAGTAGGAGCAGCAGGGCCAACATACCTGCCTAGCCTTTCTCCAGCAGCCGGTCTGCAGGCAGGCTTAGTGCCCAGTGCTACAGGGCCTGCTTCGCTACACATGGCTTTCCAGAACCCCCCCTGAAAGCCTGCACAGAGGCCTCCTGGAGGGGACCACTCAGGGCAGCAAACCAGGTGAAGACAGAGAGCGAGGACTTCCCCAGGGCCCAGGGGCGGTGAGCACCATCATCGACGGTGCCTCTCCCCACCTCCAGAGGCTGGGCATCGACGGTGCCTCTCCCCACCTCCAGGGGCTGGGCATCGACGGTGCCTCTCCCCACCTCCAGAGGCTGGGCAGGGCTCTGCAGTGTATTCCTGGACTCATGGCTGGCGCTATCTCTGCCTAAACAAAGGAGCAGGCAGGATCAACAGGGCATTATTGCACGCACCTGATCTCCTTTTACTACCCCCATTCGCATCAATGGGTAATTATCCAAACAGAAAATAAATGAAATAGGAAAGAAAAGACCATAACCAGAAATATCAAATACCAAAAATCTCAGTATGGCCAGATATTCAATAAATACAGCAGATCAGACAAAAGCTATGACTAAGGCTGAAAAAAAAAATTTTTAAATTCAATAAGTAGTTTGGAGATACATCACACAAACACACAAAAAAAATTTAAAATATGGCATCAAGAGCATAAAGCATGGAGGGTGTAAAAATACAGTCCTTATAGAATATATATAGTGTGGAGCAAAAGTAGGTTTACCATTATTCATCTATATATATATATATATATATATATATATATATATATATATAAAAGCCTAAGCAACCAGCCACCCGGTAGCTCTGATGCACACCGCCCACCAGGGGGCAGACACTCACCACAGGAGCTGCCAAGCTGCGGTGATTTGGCAGCTGTAGGTCTCAGGTGATACACTGGAACTAGAAAGGAGGGAGCCCCATTCCAGGATGCGTCACCCAAGTCCTGCCCTCTTATAGTCTGGGGCTCCTTAGGGGATATCAGCCAGTTTCGGCCTGATGTCTGCAGCCCAGGCCAAGGGAACCCACTGGTACACGAATCTGTGCACCAGGCCTTTAGTATAAATATAATAAAGTATTTATTACATAATAATACAAGAATAAATGCTTTCGCCGGGACCGGTTTGGCTCAGTGGATAGAGCGTCGGCTTGCGGACTGAAAGATCCCGGGTTCGATTCCGGGCAAGGGCATGTACTTTGGTTGCGGGCACATCCCCTATGGGGTGTGTGCAAGAGGCAGCTGATCGATGATTCTCTCTCATCGATGTTTCTAACTCTCTATCCCTCTCTCTTCCACTCTGTGAAAAATCAATAAAATATATTTAAAAAAAAAAAAAAAGAATAAATGCTTTCACATACCCATAATTGTAAACCTACTTTTGCCCCACCCTCTGTTTTTACTTTAACACCTTTTTACTTTAACACCTATCAGTTTAAAATAGACTGCTATACATCAATGTCATGGTAACCAAAAACCAACAAAAGATATATACAAAAAGAAACCGTAACTAAAACTAAACAAAACAGTAAAACACAAGGGAAAAGATCAGGAGAAGAAGAAAGAAATAGAGGACACGTATCTGAACAAAATGGCCTAAGTACATGCTTATCAATAATTTTAAATGTAAATAGATTAAATGCTCCAATAAAAAGACATAGGGTGGCTGAACGCTGCTTGCTTCAATTTGAAAGACATAAACAAAGTAAAGGGATAGAAAAAGATATCCCATGTAAACAGAAATGAAAAGAACCTGAAATAACTTTATATCAGATTAAATAGATTTAAAAAGAAAAGGACATTACATAATTGTAAAGGAGTAATCCAAGAAGAGGACATAATTATAAATATCTGTGCACCTAAAATACATAAAGCAATTATTAATGGACATAAAGGGAGAAATTAACAGTAATATAATAATAGGGATTTTAATACTCAACTCATATCAATGGATCATTATCCAGACAGGAAATAAATGATATAATGACCTTAAATGTCATATTAGATAAGATTGATCTAATAGACACTTCTAGAATACTAGAGGCCTGGTGCACAAAATTCATGTGGTGCACAGGGGGGGTGTCCCTCAGCCCAACCTGCACCCTCTCCAATCTGGGACCCCTCAAGGGATGTCTGACTGCCTGTTGTAGGATCGGGCCTAAATGGACAGACATCCCTCTCACAATCCAGGACTGCTGGCCCCCAACTGCTTGCCTGCCTACCAGCCTGATCACCCCCTAACCACTCCCCTACCAGCCTGATTGCACTAACTGCTCTCTCCTGTGGGCCTTGTTGCCCCCAACTTTCCTCCTCTGCTGGCCTAGTCATCCACAACTGCCCTCCCTTGCAGGCCTGGTCCCTCCCAACTGCCCTCCCCTGCTGGCCATCTTGTGGCAGCCATCTTGTGTGTGGGAGTGACAGTCAATTTGCATATTACTCTTTTATTATATAGAAGCCTGGTGTGTGGGTGGGGACCAGCTGGTTTGCCCCGAACGGTGTCCCGAATCAGGGCGTAGTTCCCTTAGGGTGGCCTGGGCAAGGGGCCTGTGGTGGTTTGCAGGCCGACCATGCCGCCACGCGCCCCCCCCCCCCTACCCACCCAAGTGGAGGCCCTGGTATCTGGGATTTATTTATCTTCTATAATTGAAACTTTGTAGCCTTGAGCGGAGGCTAGGACTGTGGGAAGCTTGGCTTCCTCCATTGCCAGGGAAACCCAAGCCTCCTGCTCGCTCTGTAGCTGCAACCATCTTGGGTGGGTTGATTTGCATACTCACTCCTGATTGGCTGGTGGGCATAGCGGGGGTATGGTCAGTTTACTTGTTTCTCTTTTATTAGTGTAGATTTCATCACAAGATTTTCAAAATTTACGGTATGCACTAAAAGTTGTTATAGGAAGGTCATAGCTATACATGCTTACCTCAAGAAACAAGAGAATTCTCAAATCCTCTCAACTCTATACCTAAAGAAACTAGAAAAAGAACAAACAGAACCCCAAGTAAGTAGGAAGAAGGAAACAGTTGAGTGTGAAAGGAAACAAAAACAATAGAAAAAATTAATAAAGAGTTGGTTCTTTGGGAAAAAAAAAGAAAAAAAAAAAGATAAATCTTTAGCCAAAGTCATCAAAACAAGAGAGCCGGGATGTGGGTTCTCAGCAGAACTTGACGCTGTTGTCACCGTAGGCCTCAGACTTCCAGCCTCCAGAACTCATAGAACTAAGTTTCTGCTTATCCGTCAAAAGAGCCCACATAAGTAAAATACAAATGAAAAAGAAGTTATAACTGATACCACAACAATACAAAGAATCGTTAAAGAATCCTAGGAACAACAATATGCCAGCAAATATGATAATCTAAGGGAAATTGGTCAACTTTCCAGAAGCAGGTAACTTTCCAGAAGACTGAACCAGGAAGAAAAATACAAAATCTAAACAAGCTGTGAAGTATTAGCAGTGAAATTGAAGCAATAATAAAACTCTCAACAAATAAAAGTACAGGAGCAGGTGAATTCTACCAAGTATTCAAAGAAGAAAATTAATACTTATTTTTGTTACTCTATTTAAAAAAAAAAAAAAAGTGAAGAGTTAGAGATGCTTACAAACTCATTTCATAGGCCAGGTTACTCTGATACCAAAACCATATAAAGACATTACAAAAAAAGGAAGTGGCAGGTCAATAGCCTCTATAAACATAGATAGAAAAATTGTCAAGCCAGGTTTAGCAGTACATTAAATGGATTATATACATCATGACCAAGTGGGATTCATCCCAAGGATGGTTGGCCATCCATAAATCAATCAATGCATCACATCACATTAACAGAATAACTAACTAACTCTAAACAAAGCGGGTAGAGAGGTATATATCTCAGTACATGAAAGGCCGGGACCTGCAGGTAACATACGCAGTGGGGAGAGGCCGGAAGCCTTCCCTGAGATCAGGACCGGGTGAGGGTGCCCGTTGTTCTGCTGCTCAGCGGAGTGGTGGGAGCCCTCGCCGCGGCGATCAGGCAGAAAACAAAGGTCCGGATTAGAAAGGAAGCAGCATAGCGCTCAGAATTTGCAGATGGCGTGATACTACATATAGAAAACCCTAAAGACTGCACCACAAACTACTAGAACTAACGAGTGACTTCATGTAGTTGCAGGACGGAGTCACTGTACAGAAATTGTTGCATTTCAGTAATGGATAATCAGAAGAAATGAAGACAGTCCATTTACAGTTGCATCAAAAAGTGAGCCGAAACCGGTTTGGCTCAGTGGTAGAGTGTCGGTCTGCGGACTGAAAGGTCCCAGGATCAATTTCCGGTCAAGGGCATGTTCCTTGGTTGCGGGCACATCCCCGGTGGGGGTTGTGCCAGAGGCAGCTGGTCGATATTTCTCTCTCATCAACGTTTCTAGCTCTCTATCCTTCTCCCTTCCTCTCTGTAAAATAATAATAATAAAATATATATATATTTTTTTTTTAATTTTTTTTTTAAGTGAAAACACCTAGGAATACATTTAACCAAAGAGGTGAAAGACCTGTAGAAGATACTCGCCAATGATATTCTCAATCATGGGGTTAACATCCATAATACATAAAGAACTCGGACAGCACCAAAAAAAACAACTCAATTTTAAAAATGGGCAGAGGACTTGAATACACATTTTTTGATACTGAAAAGATGCTCAATATCACTAATCATCAGAGAAACACAAAACCACAATGCATATCCCCTCAGAACAGCTGTCAGCAGTAAGTACCAAGTACTGGCAAGGATGTAGAAGAAAGGAGCCTTGACACTAGCGATAGGAATGTAAGTTAGCGCAGCCACTATGCAAAACAGTCTGCAGATTTCTCAAAAAATCAAACAGACCTGCCATATGATCTAACAGTTCCACTTCAGTACATTTATCTGAAAACAGAAACCCTAATTCAGAAAGATGTACCTGCTATGTTGATTGTAGCCGAGATAGTGAAGCAGCCTACAAGTCGATCAGTAGATGTACGATTAAAAAAATGCGTGTCAGTATACGTAAATCTGCATAACAATGGATATTATTAAGCTATAATAATGAAATCTTGCCATTTGCCACAACATAGATGAACCTAGAGGGTGGTAAGTGAAATAAAACAAATAACATATAATCTCACTTTGATGTGGAATCTAAAGCTGAAATAACTAAAAGCATTATCTTATTCCCAAGATTTCTGTTTTTAAGTCCACCTTACAGACAGGTAATTACCTTGTTCGGGTCATCTGACTCGTAAGTGATAGGATTTGTGCCAGATAGAGTTGGTGAAAGCCCTCCCTGCACAGGGGCCTAAGCGGTCTTGTAGTGAGTTCTTCAAGAATGGTGGGTTACTGTCCGGCAGTCTCCATGGGAGCAGCCTGGGAACCAGACAAGCCTTGTAGATGCGTGAGCCTCCGGTGTGAGCCTGTAACTTAGTCAAGTTCCTTTTCCCAGGGCGACCTGCGGCGCATGTGGTCTGAGCCGTTCCACTCCAAAGCCAGCAGCTCCCGCTTCCTGGAGGTATGATGATCGAGAGGGACCAGTGGCCATCCTCGTCTTCTGTCCACACGTTTCCTCGTGGAGCTGGCCTGGCATCGGGGATGCACCTGCGTAGGAACTGACGGACTGCGTTTTGCGTTTGCGGAGCCTGTTTGCCGGAGGTGCTGGGCCTGCGTGGATCCTCTTCCCGCGTGGAGGGGAGTCCCTTCCCCGGGGACAGGCCTCCCAGCTCCTTCCTCTCCTGCTCTGGGACCTGCGCAGACTGTTACCGCGGGAGACGGAGGTGTGACTCTAAAACTGACAGCGGCATGGAGTCGTCCTGTACCTTCTGAACACTAAACGGATGAAAAACGAGCGAGCAAAGTGACGTTTCTTCAGCGACCCCTCAAGAACTTTGGGGTCAGCTTCCAGTGGGGGACTCCGTTTCAGAGACTGAGGCAGAAGCTCTTCTGTCCTTACCTTCTTTCCTTTTTTGGATTTATTAAATATTTCCTGTGGTGTGAAATGACTTACTAAATCCACAGACATTGAGTGACTTCCTGCAACATACACATACGGATTGTAAAGCGTTCATGTCCACCCCGATGTGTCGGCAGTGAATGGGGGCACGGTTTTTATACACACACACGCACATAGATACGTATGAATAAACAAAACTAAAACCTGCTAAGATCATGCTGTGTAGCAGACGGGCTCGCTCTGATTGTTAGCATGTAGAGCCGTTCTCTCTGGCTTTCTTGTACCTGGATAAGCTGCTGTCTTTCCCTCCACGACTGAGCGTGCAGTTAAAACCAGTATAGTGTTTGTACTGATATACTCATGGGCGGTAGGGGGGCTCCTTTGGTTGTGGTCAGTATAGCAAATTAGGGATGAAAAGATGAACCTTTTTGGCCCTTTCTGTTTTTGCAGGCTTCTCCCAGGCAGGGTTTAGTCCTTCCTTCCTGAACTGATGCATGTATTATAGCAGCCAGCGTCTTTGTGCTTCTGATCATAGTAATGGACTACTTGTAAATACATTTTTCTATTTTCTATTTTTTTGTATTTTTTTTTGGCATTTTGTTTCATTGGTGTGCTGTGTTTTCCATGCCCTCTCTCCTTTAAGAAAAAAAATGGAAAAAACAACACAATCCTCTCCTTGCTGTTGTGATTATAGTCTTGGTTTACCTGTGGTGACAACTGGGTATTGGGGACAAATGTCATGTGCCGCCCCCTCCCCAGATTCCAGGGCGCGCCAGGTCTTCCAGGAACTGGGCGGAGCCCCCGGCCCTGTCCGCTTAGGACCTGCCCACGTGCTGCGGCCTCTGCCCTACAGCAGCGTTCCCATGGTGACCGGTGCGTGCCGTGCGCCCGCCTTTGTCCAGCAGCCCCGCCTGGTGAGGAGCTGCCTGCTGTGCAGAGGCCGAGAGCGGCCTGGGATTGGCCCGTGGACCCGGCAGTGGAGGCCGGAGCGGGCGCCCGCCCGTCCGCCTGCCCGGCCCGGCTGCGGGATGCCCCGGCTGCGGGACGCCCCGGCTGCGGGATGCCCGGCCTGCGGGATGCCCCGGGCTGTGGGATGCCCCGGCTGCGGGAGGAGGGTCCTCTGCCCGGGCCCAGCGGTCAGCACGGCGGCGCGGGACCTGGGGAGCGGGAAGCTGGCAGGGCGGTGCATTCCTGTGTCTTCACATCCTGCTGAGGGCCTCCGCGTCTTTAGTTTTGATGTTTGTTTTTTAAAATAAATGACTCCTTTCTAGACTTGGTCCTCTCTTCACTTTTGGTTGTTGGTACCCGACTGCCTCGCCTTCCCGCTGTCTGCACCGGAGTATGAACCGGAGGCCCCTCGGACCCTGCGCTCCGGGCGGGGAGCCACAGGCCGGCGCTCTGCTCCCCCGGGGGGCTGGTGGCTTCCAGAATGACTAAAGACAGTGCCAATAATAGAAGTGTCATCCTGGCAGCTGGTCAATTTAATTTTCCTAACTTCTCATACAAAAACTAAATTCCAGACAGCAGGAATGCAATTTCTTCTTGTTCTCACTTCTGAGCAGGTGTAGGGGGAAAGACACGGGATGTTCTCTGGATTCCTTTGGCTAGTCTTGGAGTCAGTCCTTAAGCTGCCACGCCTCCAAAACGGGAACCATTCCCACCCCCGCCATATTATGAATTAAATTTAAAAATTCAATTTGCAACGAGTATTATAAAAATAAATACATTACAATTCGGGTGTTCTTGAATTTTTTCAGCTGAAAAGTCTCACGAACAATGATTGTAAAGTTGGTCAGGCCTCCGCTTAGGGAGAACTTTTTCTATAGACGGGCGTGGCGTGTGGGGAAGGTCCCCGCGGCCTCTGCAGACGCTTACGGCGAACAAGGGGTTAAAACGGGCTTAAAGTCACCACGGACCGGGCAGCAGCCCTTTGCCTGGGGGAGGGAGACCAGGCTTTTCATCTCCATCGCCCCCTCCCCTCTCCCTGCGGGTGCTATGGCCTGGGCGTGCTCCCTCCAGCTTCTCAGAGGCTGAGCCGGGCTTCCTGAGGATCCTGCGTTAGCGAGGTGTGGGCACAATCCCAGCCCACCCCTCCTCCCGGCTCCGAGCTCCCAGTGACCGCCTGTGGGCCCGCACTCAGCCGATGGAGATAAAACGCAAAGCTTATCCAAAGCCACACGTTCGCCGCTGTCACCACGCCCAGGCCTCGTGGAGGAGCCGGTCACAGCGCCCCGTGTGGGGGCAGTGCCCACCGGAGGGAGGCTGCCGTCCAGCCGGTGAGGAACTGACCTCGCACAGACGCTGTGCTCAGGAAAGTGGAGGGAAGAGTCTGTTTTGGAGAAAAAAAAATGTTAAAAATAGAATCTGCTGTGTCTGCAGAGCAGCTCTCGGGTGACTGCCAGCCAGGCCGTGCTGTGGAGATGAGTTCATAGGCTGGCGCTCGACCACTGAGCCACACCAGCCGGGCAGGACTCTAATCTCTCCACTGCTCGTGGGGGTGGGCCTCTCCCCGAGCAGCACTCCCCGCTCTCACGGCCATAACGTGGCGCCTCCGTGGGGACAGAGCCCGTCCCCGTCCGAGGCCAGGCCGAGCTGTGCGGCCCGGCCACAGACCCGCCGTCCTGGCCCCGCGCCTGTCCCTATTGGTGCCCCGGGAACTTGCCCCGTGTGCAGGGTCCAAGGCCTGGCATGGAGGAGCCGGAGCGGGCTCGGCCCCTCCGGACGGCCCAGGGGCAGGCTGGGCCCGCCGGCAGGGGGACCACCGGAGCCGGGGGCGGGAACGGGCCGAGCTGTGGCCGTGGCTTCTGCCCGTGAGGAGCGCCCGGCAGGAAGAGGGCGTCCGGAGGACAAAGACGGAGAGGGCAGCAAGGTGGCCGCCTGCCAGCATTCCAGCCCCGAGTGGTGCCAACGTCCTGGCCCTGCCCCGGGGGCCTGCTGCCCTCCCGCGTGAGCGGAGCTCCGGATGGAGAAACACCTCCCCTCACCCCACCCCCCGTCCCTTCACCCCTCCCCCCGTCCCCCACTCCCCTCACCCCGTCCCCCACTCCCCTCACCCCACACCCCCTTCCCTCACCCCCACCACCTGGCCTGGCCCCATGTTACCTGCTGCCATCAGGCTCCCCCCGGTCTGAATTCACCTCTGTTCTCACCCGCAGGTGAGAGGAGCCCTGCTGGCGAGGGGGCCCTCAGGTGAGGGGCCGGGGGTGAGGGGCCCTCAGGTGAGCGGGGCCGGGGGTGAGGGGCCGGGGGTGAGGGGCCGGGGTGAAGGCTGGCAGGACCCCGCCCGCAGGCAGGGTGGGGGGAAGAGGGCGCCGGGCTTTACCCGGAGGCAGGAGCTGCCCGAACAGGAGAGGAGTGAGGGGCGCCGTGGGGCCAGCGCAGCGGCTGAGACTGAGCCACAGGCGCCTCAGAGGGATGAGGCCCTGGCGCCCCGGGACAGAGGAGCCCCCTCCGCAGCCCGGAGCCCCTTCACCGGGAGGGAGGCGCCCCCTCCGGCCCTGAACCGCGGGCTCAGGGCGCCCCCTCCCGGCCCCGAACCGCGGGCTCAGGGCGCCCCCTCCCGGCCCCCGAACCGCGGGCTCAGGGCGCCCCCTCCCGGCCCCCGAACCGCGGGCTCAGGGCGCCTCCTCCGGGCCCGAACCGCGGGCTCAGGGCGCCCCCTCCGGCCCCCGAACCGCGGGCTCAGGGCCATGGGCAGGCGCGGGCGCCGTCTCCCGCTGCCGCCGGCGGGGCCTCACACCGCCTGTCAGAGCCAGGCCTCGCCGGGCGCAGGGTGAGGGGCTGGCCCTGAGCCCCGTCCGGCTGCAGGCAAGTGGATCTAACCAGACAGCAGGTCTGTACCCGGAGCCTGGCCAGTCCCGGGGAGACCTGACCCGAGCCAGGATCCCTCCCTCTCCCTCTGTCCCTCCCTCCCTCCCTCCCTTCCCCTCTCTCTCCCTCTCTCCCTCTCTCTCTCTCTCTCACACACACACGCACACACACACACATTCACACACGCACACGCACACACGCGCGCGCGCACATACACACAATCACACGCACGCACACATACACACGCACACACACACAATCACACACACACTCATACACACACGCGCGCGCGCACACACATACACACACAATCACACACTCACGCACACATACACACGCGCACACACACAATCACACACGCACAGTCATACACATACATTCACACACGAGCGCGCGCGCACACATACACACACATACACTCACACATACACACACGCGCACACACACAGTCACACAGGTCTCCCACGTCTGTGGTCCAGGACGTCTGGGAGCCGGCCCTCGGGGAGGACCAGCCGGGCCGATGGAGCCGCGGTCACAGGGTCACCGGCCACGCGGCCAAGGCCCTGGCTCCGCTGGCAGAGGCTCCCCTCGGGGTCCGTACGGTTCGGTTGCTTAACGCCGCCATCACCCCTCACCCGGTTCCGCGGCGGTGCCATGGCACCCGGTGTCCCAGGAGAAACGCTGCCTCTGCCCTCGTTCCCTCCCGGCCTCCGGGCCGCGGCCTGTGCGGAGGTGCCCTGCGCTGGGGCTGCCTGGTCTCAGCTGCAGGGGTTCCTCCCTCGGCCTCCAGCCTATTTCACTTTAGTTTTTAAACCGCGAGGACAGGAGGACAGAAGGAGAGAGAGAAGCGTCTGCCTCCTGTACGCCCCCCATTGGGGATCGAGCCCGCAACCTGGGCGTGTGCCTGACATGACCTCCTGGTTCCTGGGTCAGTGCTCAAGCACGGAGCACCCCGGCCTGTTTTAAAATACAGAGCAGTGTCCTTCCCGCCTCCTGGCCCAGGGCAGCCCACAAGACGGGGAGGGCAGGAGCCAGGGCCAGGCGAGGAGCAGCACCTGACCTCTGCCGAAGGGGTGACTCACTGCTGGGGTGACCCCACCCCCTCCCCACCCCACACCCCCTCCCGGTGAGCAGAGGCAGGGCCTGAGGGAACTGGGAGGCTTGGCCATGCCTTGTCCAACCTCCTCATGACAGTGTGGTGAGGACGTGACCACGGCTCAGCAGATGAGAGAACGTGAAGCCAGAGGCACACAGCCCGGACCCCGGAGGGCGCACAGGTCAGTCATCGGGGAAATCCGTGGGGAGCCCCCGCCACTGAGGACACATGACAACACCTCCCGGACTCCCAGGCGTGACGTCAACTGGGAAGTGGCAGAATGAATGCCACTCTGAACCCTGGCCATGACCTTCACCACCGTGCTCCCTCCTCATCACACCCATAGACCCTCACCACCGTGCTCCCTCCTCATCAGTCACCATAGTCCCTCCCCACTATGCTCCCTTCTCATCACTCACCCATAGACCCTCACCACTGTGCTCCCTCCTCATCACACTCACCCATAGACCCTCACCACTGTGCTCCCTCCTCATCACACCCATAGACCCTCACCACTGTGCTCCCTCCTCATCAGTCACCATAGTCCCTCCCCACTATGCTCCCTTCTCATCACTCACCCATAGACCCTCACCACTGTGCTCCCTCCTCATCACACCCATAGACCCTCACCACTGTGCTCCCTCCTCATCACACCCATAGACCCTC